AATTTTATTGAATATGGACTCGATAGCTCCATAGATGGTTCCCAAGAAGTATGATAGTAGCAGTACTCTATCGAGTACAATCATCCCACGTAAAGGACCCTCGGAGCTTTATTTCTTCTACTGAATGAGAAATCACGTTGAGTACTTGCATGACTCAAGTACCTCTCGGTCCAGTAGAGGGAAACAACCTCGCGGGCGGAAAAAACCTTCTCCATCCATCATGGATGAGTCTGAGTAAGGGCGCGTGCCATGTGGAGATTTAGGAAAATTGAGCGTGTCTTTTCGGACCCACTAGCCAGAAGTAATTTCGGTCTCCTTCTGCCTGATTTATACGATTTTTTTTTATTTGCTCCTAATAGCCTCTGAACGACTTCCCTAGTTCACGAGTAGTCACCAAATGCTGAAAATACGGTTAATTATGAATAGCTAGCATTTCACTGATGTTATTTTTCGTCGAATTCTCAACTTCAACCGAGTCTCAACGTTTCAACCTATTCTCAATGTTGATACAACGTTGTTGTGCCGAATGGGTATTGTCTGCTTTCCTTCGATATCAAGACTCTATGTTAACCAGTCTGAATGATCATATTTTTAACTCCTTGTTTCATCTCTTCATTCCCAATGAATCTCTTCAAAATGGCTTGCCAAATTACTATCAAACGTATTCAGGAAAATACATCGTGTATCGAACTTTTCAAGTTCGCGGCGCAGCCTACACAAACGGCAACTAATTCTTTTCTTCTTCTTTTTTCTTCACCATTTGACCCAGATCGGTATTTAAAGGATTAAAGGAGAATAATGCTTGTTGGATATACAATTTTTTGGAGGAAGAGGCAGAGAATCTTCCTTCTCAGATTGCGGATCGGATTTAAATGGAATCACATGCACCAAGGCTCACCTATTCAAAACCGGCTGGAGAGGTTTTTATCCTTTATGACACGGCACGAAGTAAATAGAGGTCCGCTCCGCTTGAATCATCGAGTCAAAACTGCCCCCCCGAATCGAAACTGGTCTCACTCAGGATACATAGAATAACCGGGTCTCACCGATCCGCGTTGGCGAGCGGACAACCTCGCGTTCCATGCTCGCATGAATTCAGTCATGGTTGCGCCATGGATATTAATCCGATTCAAGGCTTCGATCGACGCCTTGAAGCATATCATTACAGGCTCACTGACGAGACAGAGAAGGGCAGCAGAGAAAAAGGGCACCAAGATCCAAGAGACGGAAGAGCGTAGTACCGGAAGGGAAGAATACAATACAACGATCTCCTTTCCTGCATTTCAGAGCGGTTTTGCACGCTGCGTGGTGTCTAGATACTGAAGGAGAGCCGACAGCTTGGGCCTTTCACTACTGGTCGTCGTGTCCCGTGTTTTTTCAGGCTTTCTTTTTCGTCTCACGAGGCACTAGACTCTAGACTCAAAGAGTCTAGAGGCTCCCTTGGGAAGGGAGCCCCCTTCCATGGCGGCATTTGGAGAGCATTGCCTTTGTTCTAGCATTCCTCATTCTTAGCCCTTAAAAGGAAAGTCCTTAGACTGAAGAGAGAGCCGCGGAAGAACGACTGCCTATTGCAAGCCATCATTTCATTGGATTCTGGTCACAAATCATTCGTATTTGGCTTTTTGACAAAATGGTGCATCATAAAGCGAAATTGGGAAAAATTATAGGTATTCGTGTAGATATTTGATTGCTGGTTGAGATTCGAATAATTTAGATCGCATTTTTGCAATCGTTTGCATAAAGCTGGCGGCCTTTTTGAGAATGGAAAAGGCCTTTTTTAAACCTTCATTTTCTTTTCCTTCGAACATGAAAGAAAACGATTTGGTGCAAAAGCAGTTTAGCAGGGGACATAATTAAAAACCTAAGCCGATCATCACTCCATAAAAAAGGCAAATGATTATTTTACTGACGACTTGGGAGCCGAAGAAAGGGACATTCTCATTGTAAATTTCAATAGTGTTTCAATTTCTCGAATTTTAGGACGCTCTGGAACCTCGTTTCTTCAGCATCACTTTCTCAGTCACCATATTGTCTTTAATTAATAAGTTAAAATAAAACCACCAGGGCAAGTAAAGTTGATCCGCTATCACGATGACCACCTCTCGTGAAAGAATTGATCTTTCGTTTCTCCATTTAGGCAGATGAGGCTGAGAGCCACCTGCCTAAATGTGAATCCCGCCGTGAACGCCGTGGAAGCTTCCAAATTGACCTTTGCAAATCCTTGAATGAAATATCCATTTCTGATGCACTCAGAGTAAACCAAGAGGGATATACATTTTCTCCCTTTTGACAGTGGCAAAGAGAATGTCAGCAGATACTTACTTTTCGCTACTCTAGGTAACATCGAGGTCATTTCGAAGTCTTCCTCGTGATGGACATGTTTCAGTTGCATCCCAATTGTTGCAGAAGCTGAACAATTCATGTGAAGTTTCGGAAAGTTTGTTCCCCTTCCTCACGTCCAAGCCTAAGCGAAATTATAAACTACTGTTTCTTTTTTTGAAGATGTGTGTTGCTAGAGCGAACTCGCCAGGAAGCCTGTTTTTCGTATTGAGACGGCTTCACATTATGCAGGTTGGAGTGTTTTTGCAGGTATCACAAGCTAGAGGTGCCTGTAGGGTAGGCTCGGACCTACCATGCTTCCATTAACGATCTAAAGCAGGGGTGCCCAAAGTTTTGGGTCATGGGGGCCGCATTGCCTGTAGAGTGCGGGCTCGCGGGCCTCATAATTAGAAACTTGCTTTCCTGCATGGTAAATATTATTTATTACAAAAAATATATATATTTCCTAGTTTTGACCAAGTTCAGCATGCTGTTGAGCCGGAGTGGGCCTCATTTTTCTTGCCTCTCATCATCCAGCGACGGTGGAAATGGAAACTAATGAAGAGATAGGGGCTTTTGACGTGATTTTGAACCAAATTGCCAGGACTGCTAGGACTGTCGAATTATCAGAGATCACTTCAATCCTCTTGAATAGCTCAATGGAGGCGAATTCCGAAGATTTCCTCTTTCCAAGGACACCGTCGCCAACTTGGTGTGGACAATGGAGCAGCAGCTGCCACACTAATCATCATTTTTTTTGCAAGGGCTCCCATACCGCCTTTAAACGTGTTTAAGTCGTGGATAAACGTGTTCACACAACTAAAATTATTTTCTATGGGGTATGTCAAAGAAACACTTTCTTAAACATGTTTTAGTAAACTTGTTCATCCTGTCTTTAAACTATTCTTATTCCGCCATTGGTGCACGTCACCCAAAGTATTGGTGAGTCCACTTGTCTTGAAGTATGCGATTTCTGCATTGTTACGAGGTTTTCTACGCTCTGCTGACTTTGCACAGAAAAATAGAATCCAAACTGTAACTCGCAAATCCACACTGTCCCTTAGTATGGATCCACGGCTCGACTGATAATCCCAGTCCTCGTGGAATGAACCGGTTTCGACAACATTGTCCCTGCTTGTTCGTCCTTTGAGAGACGGATGACATACAAGCCCGACGGACGAGGTTGGTACAATTAAGTCCGGGGTTTGGCTCCTATTCTCCCTTCACCCCTTCCAGATGGAATTGCAGAAATAGATAGGGATGTCAGAAGGTGTCATGAAATGTTATACATTATCTTGATGTGAATCTTCTACTGCGGTATATTTGCGATGTCGTGGCGGCCATTGGGAGGAATTGGACAGCATGAATTTATTAGAGAAATTTGTGCGTGAAAAAAAAATGCAAAGAAGCTCTTTGGAATGATGCATGCAACGCACATTTTCAGGAGAATCTGGCAGTCCTGCGGATTCTCTCGCCCTCACAGATGGCGCCTAGATGTCAAGTCCAGTTAAGCGCCTCATGATTACCCTCGATAAAAGTGTCAGGATATTACGAGCTGTCACTGGAATATACTATACAATCAAGTACAAACCCAAGGCCTAACATCCTTAATCGTAGGCTTAGCGTGACCTCAGACGTAGGCCTTCGCATCCTAGAGAGATGAGAAGAATATGTAAAGGAATACACAATCGGGATCCACGTTCTCACCTCAATTCTGGACGGAAATGATCTGTGACGCTCATTCGTCAATTCACATGTAAATTAAGGAAGGTCTCACTTCGTTTAATTTTGGGATTTTCGAATGCATGTGGTGCGAGATCAGTGAGACTATCGAGAAGCTCTTTGTGGAAATCTGCAATAGGCTTTCCTTGTGTTCTCGAGAGGGTTACGTTAATTGATAGATAATATTAGCGAGATGTCTCAGAAGGTTTTGCTCTTTGAAAATTTTCACTTTAAAAAAATTCCGGTCGGTGCTGTCAGGCGGATACGATAGGGAAAGGAAGGTTATTTGATGCGATCTGCAGGATGCTCGCATAGCATGTCGAGGAACCAACCAGAAATGCCGCATCATGAGAATTCCGACTTCCGAGAATTGATAGCAATTTCACTTCACGTTAAAATTCTAGACACGTATGGGGACTAGGACCCTTGCGTGAGCTCATGGGATGGGAAAGGGAAGATGAACGATTGGTAGGCCAACGAAGGGGTTCCCAAGATCAAAGGAAAGTGGATTTCATTAGAATGAAGGGATTCGTCTCGAGTTTCTTGATTAAGGGCGGGTTTGTATCTGCGAATAAGTATACTCGCATCAACGTCACTCGCTGGAGAGTGCTACGAGGTAAGAATGTATTACTCGTATTCCGTGTTTTTGCACACTAGCGTTAAAATTGAGAACATCCAGACTTCAGGAAAGAATTCTTGCAGATAACGATCGTCTATGGGAACGATCCGGTTTGCACGTAACTTTCCTGTCTCCTCCACCAAGACGGCAGAGAAGGAGCGAAAGATATTGAAAAATGTTATTTTAGCCTTTGCATAAGATCGCATCGCTAAGTAGCGGATATGACTCCTTAGTGATCCGATCTGGTTTACAAGTAACCTCAAGTAATCGATTCGACACGAGAAGTAGAAAGGGGATTGGCTGTAACATGAGGGCTGAATAAAAGAAATATCGGGTCATTATGAGGTGAGGAAAATTGTGGGGGATCGAGCATCAGCTAGTGCCTATTCTTGACGATCATCCAAAGGCTTTTCATCGTCAAGCAACTGCTGGGAGTCCATATTTCATGGGGTCCTAAAACCACGACGAGGAATTCGGGCCGTATTCACGTCACTCCCTTAGCTAAGGGATCCCTTAAGAGTTAGGGGACCCCTAGCTAAGGGCTCCCTAAGAGATGATGCCTGGAAAGGCTGGATAATAAGGGTCCCCTAGAGGTACCGTATTCACGTTATTCCCTTAGCTAGGGAATCCCTAAACGCACCCCTAAGAGATATAAGAAATTGGAAAGAAGTTTGGAGAGCCTTCAGCCGTCCTTAGCAGACTCTGCGAGTTCGTCGCACTCTTTCAGAGAGCAGAAATGCCTCTTCAGTTCTCTTTTCGAATTTTTGCCTTTGTTACTGAAAACGGTTTCGAATAATTATTTTACCTGTTTACCAGATCATGCCCTTGTAGTTTTTCATAATTTCATAAGCGCTCCTGTCGTATTGCATCGACGTTGAGAAACATTTATGCAATATGTCAGACATCGAAACTTCAATAATTTTGCAATGCTGAGTCAGCTTTGTTTTTACAGGCGTTGTTGTTTTTACACATCTTATTCGCAGATTCAGGATTACTTGAATGAATTAATTTGGCAAAAGTTCCTCATTGGAGTTAACTTTACAAATCGTTTTCTTCTCAGTTTCTAACAGGTGCTAACAGGTAATTCTCATATGCTGAGATACTGATACCATCTTGCTGCACCAAGAGCTTTTCCCACCGCATCGATGTCCTGGGGTGCCCCCCTGGCACATCCTCTTAATCGAAAATCCGATTTTTGCAGTAGGAACGGGAGAAAGTGGAAACTTATTCATGTGCACCCTTCTCAAAGGACCAAATTGTGTGTATCCATCGAAAATTTTGCGACAGTCGCATAACAAATGCCATTTTTAGGGGAATTACCTTTTCACAGTCTTGCCAGATAAGCCAGGTTGGATGGTATGCCTAAGAAATAGACTCACCTTCAATGAATAAGCGTCCAAATCCTGCTTGGCATCCATTTTCATTCTCTCCCAGAGTTTTTTGAGCTGAGGGACCTTTATAGGTTCGTTAGCGGGAAACAGGACTTTCATGGAAACGTGAATTTTTGCCAGCAATCTGATTTAGCTTTGTTGGTGGCTGAATTAGATTTCTCGATTTCAAGAACTGGAGAGTGTTTCCGAAGGAGAGCTTTGAATGCTTCCTTCTCCTTAGTAAAGTTTTCCCTTCTTGACCTTCTGCTCATGTTTGCACCTAATCGTGAGAATATGACAACTAACCGGTAAGCAATCAAGCCAGTCAGCCCTGACGTGACTCGGAGATAACTGGAATGATGGAAGTATCGTAATTTTAAAATTGAATATAAATAATTAACTTTACACGTTGAGCACACACCTAGGCCCAAGTTGGTACTCAATGCTAGTGCGAAGATAATTATACCAATGGAATCTCTAAGTCTACGCTTGAGAATGTACGAAGTATGAGCATATTTCAGACAAAGCTGTTGAGTAGGGCACTTTTTTCACTTGACATTGGCACCCATTCATAGGAAGTACTATAGCAAGGTATCAAAGTAATCCGAAAATGTGTCGGACTTAAAATGAAACAATTGCCGCAATCAATACGTACGCAGAGGACCTCTGACTTCTGTGTATGTGGCTAGGAGGCAGCAAAGATAAAAGAATTTCAGCGCATGCGCTTTCTCCTTTATCACCCCAAAAGGATTCCTTAGCTAAGGGCCTCCTAAGAGACCAACGTGAATACCATCTTTAGGGGAACCCTTACCTAGGGGTCTCCTAACTGTTCCGTTCTGCTGTTGCTGGGAGAGTGACAAGTATGGGCCTTATTGCAAGCTCTGTTTTACTAACCATTGATCTGTTATTTTAGAATAGCATTATCAAAATTATACACAGCCAAAGGCCATTAAAAATGTAATTTTAATGCATTACATTTTTGACCCGACCTGGATGGCATGCACACAGCAAAACGAAGACATCTCCTCTACTAAACTACCAGCACGCCCTATACTGTCGACTTCAATGGTTTGCAACTTCTTTTAAATATGGCTAGTAGCTTTGCCTTGCTGCAATAAATTTTAATGCAATTCCACAAATCTCTTGAATACATATTAGCCTATGCTTAGGGCAAATTTCGTGGTAATAGATAGAGTCAGAAAAGAGATTTAGTAAATGTAGAGTAGGGGATATCCTTTTTGGGGTGGCTTTTACATAGAAGCAACGGATTTCATTTGACATCATCCTTCAACTGGATCACCTTAGAGAAAGGTAAAACGGATTCTTGGGGTGAATTTACACCCATAGACACTGTCATCAGTAACGAAATACCAGGACCTCTTGATGAGGTGCTGCAGGAGCTACAACATTGAACTCTAAAAGTGAAAAATGGAAGCTCACCCACCTTCTTCCACTAGGGTTGGGTTTAAGGATCCCTTAGCTAGGGGAGGAATGTGAATACGAAACATCTAGGGGATCCCTAACTTTCTTGAGTTAGGGGTCCCTTAACAGTTAGGGGCGCGACGTGAATACGGGCCTTAATCCCTTGGTTTTCTTTTGATGATCTTCCCCGACTTACCTGTGGGACCGATAGGGCTATAATTCTCAGGAGCCCTCTTGTAGATCGGGAATACTTTCACTGTTTTCTAATATCGAGGTTTTCTCCCCTTGCAAAAAGCAATTCTTAAAAATAATTCTTGATAGCACCGATACATCCTCTCTAAGTTTAACTTTAATTCGAGCTTTAATTCCACCGGAGCATGATTTTTCTGAGTAAATCTTCCTTATGCTGCTGATAATCTCTTCCTCTATTATGGCTACAGGATGCTTGATATGTAACACAGCAACTTTTATTTCAGTTAATTTTTACTTTAAATTTAACTTTTACTTCAGACATTGAAAACTTGTTTTCCGGAGCACCTCGCAAGCCTTTACGCTGCTCGCTTAGTCTCGGAAAAAAAACTTAGCAAAAGAGCAATCGAACTTTATTTCGCACTAATGAGACTAATTTTTTATTATGTAAAAAAAGTTTCTTAGGTTCTCGTGAGTTACTCATGTCACGTATTCTGACAGAACGCGTAGGTAACCGTAGCCGTTCCAAGTAGCTCATTGAGTTCACCCAGGAACACTTAAGCAAAGCAACTATTGAATGTCCTGGCAATATCTCTATTATTCTCAACTAACCTTTCCTTAATAATTTTTCATGATAAAGGTTTAATTCAATATTGACTCCTATCGCATACATTTAATCTGACCCTCGGTGGTTTTAGAGAATTCCCTCAAATGATGGAAAACCTGTACGGGTACGTATCAGTATGAGAGCAGACAAGTTCTATGATCTGCCATGTGCCAGTGGTTTCATCATGAATCCAAGGAATAGTTCACCAAATGCTTTTGTGAAGCGTTGCGAGAGCATGTATTGATTCAGGCTGTGACCCTTCGAATCCGTTGATGGGGGGGGGGGGAAGCTTATGCTTAGAGCTTATGGACACGTCTTCTGATGGCGTTCATTCGAATTTTGATTTTAATGATACTTGATAAGAGTTGGCCCGCGAACGTGCAGCATTCTGCTCTCTGGCCCTTTGGGCCCATCTCCTTTGGGCCCTCTGTGCTAAACACACGAGTTTAGTAGTTCTCCATCCGTTCGCAAGAGAGATCAGGAATCGAACAGTTGAAAAGAACATGGCAGTCTCCTGAGTCGTATAGGGGTCTGCGTCGCTGACTCGCTTTCCTTTCTTCTTTCGCTAGGAAGTCCAAGAGGAGAATGGCCGACAGTGACGAGAAGCGAGCCGATAGGCTCAAGAAATTGAGAGAACTGCATAGACGACGGGTGAGCCTGTCTTGCAACTATAGGATGCCTTGCGATAATGAAATTTGTCGTTATTTAGGTGTGGGAACTACAGTGTTTCTCACTTAAGTCTAACAATTTTTCACTTGACTCGGACATTCATGCATTATACCTTCCTTATGCATAAGTGTGAAAATTCATGTGAGAAACTGTCTGGTTCAAATAAAATACATGATAGATAAAGTTCTGTGCGTAACATGAACCACTGGGAGGCCAGCGCCTACCATGCAAATTCAAGAGTTTTGATGGGGCTCAACAAGTATCTTTTTCGGCAGAATGAGGCACGGCAGCTCAACCATCAGGAGGTCATTGAGGAGGATAAACGTAACAAACTGCCTACAAACTGGGAGGCCAAGAAGAGACGAGCAGAATGGGAACTTGATGAGGACAGGAAGAAACAAGAGGCTGTTGAAAAGGTGAGTACAGACCTTTGCCTGTGTGCATGTACAATCTCATGGATAGAAATGTCTTATTTGGAATAGTGACTATAAATATTAGGCCAGTCTTTTGAGATCATTGGTGCATCAAGTTTCCGGAGGTTGCAGAGTAAAGTACATAATACAGTGGTACCTCGCATAACGAACGCAATTCGTTCCAGCGGTGCGTTCATTATGCGAAACATGATTTCCCATAGACTTCTATGGGAAATCATGTAATCCGTTCCACGTCGCCGCGAAAAATCAAGGAAATTAGGAAAAAATGTTTCACTTTCACTCACGAACACCTCGCATAACGAACACACCGCTGGAACGAATTGCGTTCGTTATGCGAGGTACCACTGTATACCAGTTTGAATACCTACTAAACAGAATTTTGTGAAAACATGAAATCTCCTGCTGTAAGGTATATGCCTAACTTGTCATGGACAAAGAAGATATTGTTACAAAATCTTTATATGAATGCACACTATTTTACAAAAAGTATTGGGACAAGCCTCTCCCTGTTGATAACAGATGGTCCCAGAGGTTATGCATTAGAGGGTATTACAGTAGTCCAAAAGTATATGAAAGTAATTTGCAATCTGTTATGGTCATTGTATTCCAGCATGATTTGTGGGTAAGAGCTGACAGAGTTTGAACATGGAATGATAGTTCCTTGTCATATTGCCCTTTGTAATTACATTCATTCATTCAACACAATCAGAATACTGTAATTATATAAGATATTGCATGTCATGATGAAAAAGTTTAAGGGGGGCTATACCATGAAGGGGGTTCATCTGGTCATCATCCACATCTCCATCTTTATCAGGTTTCTTTCCTTCTCCTTTCCTTTCCTTCTCTTCTTTCTCTAAATCTTCCAACTTCTCTTTGTCTTCTCCCTTTGGAGCCAGTTCCTCCTCCCCTTCCTCCTCTCCACCCTTTCCACCATCCTCCTTCAGCTCTCCCTCTCTCTCATCCTTCTCTTCTTCCTTGTCCCCCCATATCTACTCAAGATATAAAATTTAGTCACTTGGATACACCATGATAACAACATGCATGGAAAATTTTCACATCAGAACTCAAAATGGCTATCCTAGGAGGCCTTGAGTCTTCAACTCCTTACACTTATCAGTTGATTGGTTACTGACCAAATTGGTACCAAATAAGGTTACTGACCAAATAAGTACTAATCAAGATCAGTACACTACATGGACTCACCTCTCCAAGTGAGTATTTTCCTACAGTAAAACATTGGCTTGCGATACAGGCCTTTATGATTAGCACCAATATTCCCAGCTGAAGTTTATACAGGAGACCTTTATGTACCTTTTCATCAAGAGTGTCAGCTCCGTTGTCAGTTTCCCCCATTTGCTTGTCTAGTTCTTGTTCCTCTTGATCATTGTCCTCCTCATCATCTCCCTCCTGGTTGTCTTCCTTCTCACTCACATCTTGCAGCTTCCCTTCAAAGTCTCCTGACATTTCTACTCCCTTCTCCTCTTCCTGCAAATTCAAACAAATCACATTCATCCTCTAACAGAATGGATGCTGATGAGTGGAATTACATTTAAAAAGTGAGAACATAATTATTTATAGGGCAGCTGAAAGATATATACTTCAGTCAGCTCTAATACTTAGCAACACACATGTCCAAAATGAAAGACAATCAGTCAGTAAAAAATAGTAACACTTCCATGCATATTATTGCATATACAGTCATCCCCCGACTTGCATCATCTCGACTTACATCGTTCTGCACTTACGTCATTTGCCCCCAGACCCAATATATTAAACCAAGCGCACAATTCGTACCTACGTTGTATTACATTGCCCTTACGTAGTCCATGAATTGGTATCTCAACTGCGAGTAGTTGGCAACACTGTACTGTCTCGACTAACACACCGGTCTTGGAACCAATTATGACGTAACTTCGGGGGATGACTGTATATGCTTATTACTAACTTCTTTAAGAAAAGAAAAACTATATGAAACAGACCTTCAAGTCCTTGTCAGCCTGAGGTTCCTTATCCCCAGGCCGCTGAGCACCCTCAAGTTGGTCCTCAGATTCAATACGCTCTGAGATGTCTTCAATGCCCTCACCCTCACCAAGACCCCCATCCCGGATGTCCTCAAACTTGGTTGGGAGCTCATCTGATGCTCCGCCTTCTTCCATAGATTCAGAAGGTAGACAGAATCCCTGAATCACAAGCACCACCACAATCAATCTTATTTCTTAAAATAAGAACAACCTTGGTTACAGGATTCAAAAATTAATTATTGTAAAACAGCAAAAACACCTGAAGAGCATACTCACCTTAAGGTTGAGTCAAGTTTAAGACATGTGAGTTTAACATCTAACTTTCAAGTGTTCATGTTATGCTGTTTTTCCCTATGCCAAGACAGAGAAGAAATTCAAATTTTCTATGAAAGCTTCCATCAAGAATGGAAAAGTGAATCTTCAAGGTACAAATACTGGTCAGTACCACAAAAACAACAGTGCCTGGGACAGAACCAGGCCATGACATGGGGGAATATAGTGGAAGAGTGAAGTCTTGATCTAGTAGACCTTCAAGTTACCAAAGTAGCCAACTAATAAAATGATGGAGAAAATTACAAGAGGAACAAATGACCCACGATTGACATGCATGATGATGTTGATATTATACTTGAGTTAGTGTAGCAATCATCTTGATCTTTTGTCAGAGAGTGAACCTATGAAACCCAATATCAGACTTAAACCTCAGTAGCTTCTGATGATAGATGATGATGGAATAGTCACCTTAGAAAGAAGTTGACAAAAAATGCCAAGGATGACAGACAGGAGTTTAGTTGAAGATCGAAGTCCTGCAATTTCTGTGCATAGCACAGACAGCTCCAGTGCTTCATAAAGGCTGACTAATGTCTCCATCTCCTTTAATTTCCTGGTAGTTGGATTCAATTCAATAAAAATTGATTAAAACATGAATCAGTTTTGATTCCGGACAGCAAAAGCTGTCACCCAACCGGATCCTTCCAGTTGATATTTTTTAATTCAGTGATTTTTTAATCTATAAATGCTGTCTATAAATGTCCTTTTTCATGTTTTTGGCTGAGGCAAATGTAATGAACTTCATGAAATGGTCTCTGAAGCCCTGTACTAAGTGATACTGAGAAGGAACAATGAACCCACTATGACCTAAATTAATTTGGCATGATGAAATGAGTATCTGGTGACATGACATAATTACTATTAATATAAATAGCAGAGAAGTTCTTGATTAAAAAATCATTAAAAAATTGCTTTTACCTCTTTATAAATTTGCATGAAATTTTTGTGCTCAAAGCACTAAACAAAAATGAAAGTTGTAGATTTCACTTCAAACATTTTTCATTAAATTAGAAATATAGTTAAACTTTTCATTTCCTTATTTTATGAAGAACAAACTGCAAAATAAAAACAGCACAATACTAGCAGTGGAGATCATGATGAGACAAGTAGTCCATGTGGTGATATGAGTGAACCCTAGTTGCAATAACTTGAACTTCTGAGGAAAATAACACGACGATATGTGTTAACTAGAGTGTGACCTCAAAATTACAATGAGTCACAGTGGCATGGCACTGAAACTCCCATGATAAATTCAAAATTTACTGAGTGACTTTCAAGTTACATTGGGTCATAGAGGGTTAAAACGTCTACTGTAATTCAATAACTTCTATAGTCAGGAAACTAAGAAATTAGGTCCATGAAATCCTGCAGATGAATCTGCAGCATTGCAAGACACATGTTTTCATTCACAATACCAGCTCACAGAAAGGGTATTCACAATACCACAGCAACACATACCATAATGCCTGGGGCTCCCTGGCCCTACCCTCCACATATCAGTATTAGTTATCACTTCAATATATCAAATTCTGGGTGCATACTTGACTATCAAGATTAAACAAATGATCCTTGCTGAAAAGGACAAAGCAAGCAAAGTCTAATCTGATTTCCAGTAAGTGATAGGGGCCCATCACTTTATAAGGTAATGTGAACCAAACGTGCATCTTGGGATGCTGCAGAATCATCCAAAGAAATGTTTGGATATGGATAGTTTCCTGGATGCTGAATTTCCTGAATATAGTTTGGCATTATGATTTTTCACACTCATAACAATGTAGCGCTCAAGAAGCAATTTTTCTGGCATTATGTTAACTTTTTTTAATTGAAACAAGAAAAAAACTACTCTGTTGAGGGAGAAACTACTCAGATTGCATAGAAGACCATAAATAAACTGAGCAAAACATATGGCCTTACTTTTCATCATTTTCTAGAACCCAATATGAGGCGTTTCACTGCAGTGAGATTAAACTCACCCTTGGAGGGAGGATGGAAGATGAATCAGATGATCATGTGAATGAAGATCTTGCAACCATTCACCTAGTTTGTTGTTGCCATGCAGCCGCTGCCACATCTCATCTTGCACATTTACATCTGGGAGATTGAATCCCTCAGTTTCCTTGCTTTCAATCTCAGTCATCTGCTTGTACATTGCTTGAATTCCCAACAGGATCGATTCTGTTATGGCTTCAATGTCAGCCTCCAGTTTGGCTTTGTCAATGGATATGGCAGCAGCAGCTATATCATCTATCCAATTACCATGTTCACACTTGACACAACTGATAGCAGAATGAAGATGCTGGATAGGTGAGGCCAAGGCTTCAGAAAGCACAACTGATGCTGCCTTCAAGCCTGAGATCTCCTTCACAGCCTCATTCAGTGACTCCTTCTGCTTCAGGATGTCATCTTGAGAAAGATGCAGCTTCTGATCAGATGCATCCTGTTGCAGGATTCCCATCAACTTGCCTATGGCACTCTCACATCTTGTCTTCAGGGTTTGAACCACATCAACATTCATGGGGAAATTTCTTGGGACCATAGATTCACGGAAAGGAACAGCCGGTGATATGGCAAACACATCATCAACTTCACCAGGGTGGGACTCCAGGACAAGATTGAATTCCACAAGAGCTTCCAAGCATTTGGACAGTTCATGTTGAATCCTTTCCTACAGAATAATTCATAGTTTCCATCTTTAAGCACTTCAAGCTCAAGCAATGCAACACAAGTATGACTTTACTTGGTAAGATTGACCAGATTCCAGAATGGGTCCTGCATAGGTTAATGGCAGATGTCATTTTTTAAACTGACAGATTTCTCTGATTTAAAGTTTTGTCTCAATGAGGCTTGGCTTCAAACAAGTCATCCATTCAAGATAAACAAGAGAATCCTGCTTGAAATGATGTCTCATGAAAGATGGGAAGAATGATGGTGCAGGTTGACAATAAGAGGGGATGATGGAGAATAAACAAACCCATTTCTAGACTTTTCAAATTAAGTGTTACTGATACATCACAAATGACCTTCACTGACTCCATTTCCAGCAAAAAATCAAATAAAAATGAAAAAGCAATGCTTGCCTGCCAATGTTCAGCACTGAGCTGGGGGTAGACAGACATATCTCTGATGACATCACAAAAACTTTGTCTGTCCTCCATTGTCTGCACTACTTTTGTTAGATGATCCTTCACAGACATCCTCTGGTCTTGCACCAAAGACTATTGCACCAACAGATTAGGGGTCACAAAAATGTGTGAGTCTGCACTTCTCTGTTGGATCAATTTGACTGCCACAGGGACTTACCAAAAACTGGGGGGTGATGCCTTGGATTCGATGGATAACTGGGAGTCCCAACTCCTTTGCTGGGGACAGGGCAAGGATTTCTAGGTTGTCATAGCGATATATGGACTTGAAGTAATAACCTTGACAGTCTCTCAACTTCTCATCCAGCCATTGACCCTGTTTCCTGCAGAAAGAGAAATTCACAGGTATATGCTTCATTGGTATTAAATTTGGGACATTGGGCTCTAGGTGATTGATATGAAAAATAAATGACAAGAGAGGAATTCATGGTCAACTGATAGGTGACATGGTTGTTCTTACTAATTCCCCTCCAGCTGATACAATAATATTTCAGATTCTGTGCAGATGAAATAACTCCTACACCACATGGTGTGACAGTCATTTGATCACAAATCAATGCTACTTAATACAGTTGGTAGCTTAGTGTGATAAATGGCAAGCAGAAATAAAAATGACATACGTATTGGGTAAAAGTGTGAGGGTGCCACTGAGAGCTGGTAAAGATGTCCAAGCTTTGGCTTTGGCCTTCACACTCCCAAGGAGGCCCTTCTTGAATGAGATTCCTGAATGACCCAAGCTTTTAAAAAGATCCCAAAGAGCCTTCTGCTTTCGACCATGGATGTGGTGCACTGCCTTCTTCCGAGCTGCCTCTTCCTTCTCTGTCACCTGTTCCAAATTTAGGCACTCTTGATTTTTGGATTATGCAAAAAAAATGTCTGTGGAGGGAAAGAGCAGGAATGCTAACCTCAAGGCTGGCCAGATCATGGGATACTTCAATGACCTGAGAGGTGAAATCATCAATTTCCTGGGCATGATCAATTGAATGCTTGGCCAGGATTTCCTTGATCAAGGTTCTTGCCCTTGGGATATGCCTTAACAGGGAATCTTTCTCCTCTAACACCTAACCACAGAATCTCAGTGAATGTGTGATAATGAGGAAAAATATAAACAACTACACCACCAACATACAGGGTGGGCCAAAAAAAAACAAATCTACCATTTTTGTTGAGTTGCCAGTCTGATTGTAGAAAGCTGATTCTGATGAAATTTTTTAGACACATAGGATGACTCAATTAGGGTTTGTGTGCCAAGTTTCTAATAAAAATTCCAAATACTGTGAGAATGGCATTTAATTTACTTTTCATCACCAAAAAAAGTGTTCATTTTTTCTTTCAACTTAAAATTTCTCACAACTGACAAAAAGAAACAAGCAAACAAACAAAACAAAAACAAAATGTTCAAATGCCAAAAACGAAAGCATATAATTTGGTTTAGGTAGGTTCATTTCAACTGAAAAGGTGCTCAATGTGCAGTCCATTCTGTTAAACACAAGTCTCTAGTCTGGGATGCCACATATCAATGGCTCAGTCAATAAATCCTTGAGGCAGTGCCTCACAATCTTCCTCTATAGTATCATGCAGAGATGGAAGGTCATGAATTCAGTCCTCTCTTTCATCCCAGCCTCAAGTTCATATCACTATTTTTGACAGCACATTTTGTCGTGGATCATCAGAAAATAATTACAGCTCCTATAATTTTAAAGCCAGAGGGCTGAAATTTTGCATAATAACTCCAATTGTGTCCCCCTATAAACCTACCAAATTTAATTGGAATCAGCAACCTACAATGAGATTAACAACACACCAAAAATGACAGCTTTGTTTTTTTTGGTCCACCCTGTATATTGTAACACAACTGTCCTAAGCATGTCCAGTAGTGAACCACCAAACTATGCTGTTTGTGACTTGCAAGGCCACTCTATTAATGGGAAATCCTCCCTACAAAATTCTGTGCAAAATAAATTCAGAAGTGTCTCATTTCTGTCAGTTCAACAAGGGTCCTAGCTTCTTTGCACCTTGCACCACCTTACACCTTCCTTGCTCATTGGAGTCCATCGAGATGGAAACTGGCATACTAGCTACCTTGTACCTTGTAGCTAGCATGCCAGTTTCCATCTAAAGGGAGTCCAATGAGCGACATGGATCCTCAGTAATGCATTCATGGACTTTAGTGGCGTTCTCCTTGGTGCATGATGTTTGCGGTCATCTCCTTCCATCTTCCTTTTTCTTGATGCCAGAATTGAACTCAGAATGAATCTGCTGCACTCGGTGAAGTGTGACAACATGTGGCCATGCAGTGATGAAAAATTCATAAGTCTGCATTGCAGTAAAAGAATTCCTTCTGCATGTTTCAATCAAGAATCGAAGAGCAGTTTTGTTGTATTCCATTGCGTGACACATGACAGAATGACACAATTTTGGTTGACACACAAAACTGAACTTAAAAACAGGAAATCGTTGAAATTCTGCCTATAAATAGCTTACATGTCCAAAAATAGATCCCTGAAATTTGATAGGGTAAATCCTCTTAATGGTCATTTTATGGCAAAGTGAAATAATTTATGGGGTGAACCTTGTATAATTCATGAAAATTTCAAAATATAGAAATCATTAAGATGTCAATGCCTAATCCATAACAAGCAAACTGATTATAACAGTATCAAAAGCAGTGGCTAAGCATGAATATGCCCATAGATGCAATTACCTTTACCAATAAATAGTGGATAAGTTCTGCTGTTAATGCATCATTCTAACAGGGTTTCCAGAGAATTTACAAAAGCAAGTCCCCTTACTCCTCTAGATTTTCTAGACTTTTGGTGGATATTTTTCTTGTATTTTAACTTCATTAATGGAACATTCCCAGCAGAAGACTGTCTCAAACCATGAAACTAATTGAAATTCATCACAACACTAATTGTGTCTAAGGATGTATGGCTGGGGATAAATGACTTGCTCAATTAAATGAATTCTTTCGTTTGAGTGAATTCTTTAAAATAGGGTTTTCATCAATTTCACAAAGGAAGAAATGGTCTCTTCCATTAGTCAGCTCAACTTCAGCTTGGTGAAACTATGTATCATCTGAGCAGAAATACAGCAGTGAGAATAAGACAGAAATTCCAACTTATGCCTTTAGGAGTTTTCTTTTCATGTTTTATTCCTTTTCCAGAAAACATGGGCAAGAAAAAAAGCAAAAAGTCTCTTGATAACATTGCAAGCATGAGATCATTCTCAATTTCAGAACCAACTTGCCACCATAATGTTTACATTTATTAGTATTGAATTATTGCTTAGCCTCAGAGGGAACCTTGCCAAAGAAGCTTTCAGAATGTTAAAATAACTTACATGAGATGATAAAGGAAGGATTGGTTCAGGTGACACAAGATGTTCTTGCTTCTTGTCCCATAGTCCTGATGGAGCTGGTTTGTCTTCCTGTAGCTTCTCATTCCCCTTTAGGACCCCTTCTCTCATTGGGATATTCAACACTGCCTGGAATAAAAATTCAATCTCAATATTCAACTCTGGAAAAGAAAGTACTTACTTCTGTGAAAAAAGCACACCCAAAATTTCCAGTGAAAGTAAAGGTTGGGCTACTGAAGCAACAGCAACTTCTTCAGGTTTCCAAGAAGTATATTTTTTCTCAAAAATGTTGTTAACACTTACTTCACTAGGGTTAACACTTACTTCACTAGTCTGCACTTACTTCCCCATCTCATAATAATGGAAAAACTCATAATGGTGTGAGACCTTGAAGGCTTTGGTGTGTTTGTGGAGGGTGCGATGGGACTTGTCGACAGCCTCCTTGACTGCCCAATAGTTGAGATCATTCCAGCGGGAAATCTTGACAAAGTCCTTCAGCTCCTTCTCAATGGGACGACGCATGATCAAGATCTTCTCTCGAACCAGAGGCAGGAATTGGGCATAGAAGTCATACAGGTTCCATAGATGCCTCCCCACTGAACCATCTGCAAGACACTCAGCAAGTCAAATACCTCACGAGTATATGGGAACAAGCTGGTCTGATTGGATAGTATGTCATGCCATTGTAGAAATTTACTAAGGTGAATGTCATGTGTCATAGGGTTTAGAGCATCTGTACCATCAGACATATTGAAAGTCACTGATTAATTGAAATTAATGCAAAAATGAATTTACTTTTTTTTTAAATGTAAAATGGTTTGTGGAAAGGGGATAAACAAGATGAAGAACCCTCACCTGACTGGGTCAATTCTGTGGCAAATGCATGAAGAAAACCAAGTCTTGCTTCCACCTGCCCGATGGGAGAGTCCTCTATGAACTTCCTCAGTGTCTCATCCAACTCAAAAAGAGACTCTACACTGTGATCTTGCTTCAGGGAACCATAGAGATGGAACCACCACTTCCCTGCTTCCTCTTCCATCCTATACCAGCACACATTTAATATTATTTGGAGCATTGCATCTCTTGAAATATTTTGCACTTCATTTGTATTAGAGTGCTTATACCTACTATATTTTAATTGATTCAGCTTTGTCCTCAAGATCTTATTTATTCATTTTCTGTCAAGTAGGGGAATCTGTAGCACCAATAAGATAAATTATAGACCACTGATTTCTTTAAAAAAATACATAAATTATTGATAGGTTTTTTGAAGAAAAGAAGAGAGGGTTTCCCCTTTGGGCTGAAGCATCAATTCAAGTTATATGAGATATTTTCATATGGATGGCATAAAAAACCTGAACCACACGACAGCATTAATCTTTCTATCTTAAATAATTGAACTTGACAGTAAGATCTAAATCATACCATAAACACATACAATAGAACACCCGAACACCCTGTTAGCACAACATTTGAGTCAAAGAAGAAGTAAGCTGAATTTCTCACTCAAAAGTGACTGTGTCCAACAACCGGCTCCATGAATGGAGCTCAAGCTTCCTCCACTCAATGACCAGAGCAGTGATTGTCTCAAGGTGTAAAAACAAGGAGACCTTGCGGTGTGCATTCATTTCCCATTCCTGGCACTTTCCCAAGACCATTTCCAAGCCAACAAGGAAACGCATGAGTGGTGACACAATTGAGAAGCTCAGGATACGTTCTACCACCATCAGAATCTGGCAAAATGATGTCACTTCATGTAGTTCATCAATACATGTTGATACAGACATTCACTATGTACTAATTTTCATTAACTCTCTCTTTGGTCCATACCTTTCAATAAACAATCAATCTTATCTGGTTGTCTGCTAGAATGGAATTCCCAAATTGAATTTGCTTCCCAGTAAGTTTTCATTTCCATTAAAAAAGAAAAGGAACACTTCAAGTCAGCATGAGATATATTTTGAGTGCAGAAATGAGACCTGCTGCAGAGTTGGGTGGTCAGGCCAGTCATCAAGTAGTTCATGAATGCGATTCCTGAGCCCACGCAAGACATCCAAACATTTTCTGGCTCGCCAGGTGTCTGGATTGTGGTATAGATCAAAGGGCTTGTTTTTTTGGCTTTGATTCAGCTTGCCATCCTCTGATTCACTAGTATTTCCCTGAATCTGAGCATGAAGATGTTGGCATGCAATTAGGTGAGTCCAGAGTCTTGAATCCAGAGATGCAGGGATGGAATTGGCCAAGGGAAGGAAGAGGCCATGAGCAGCTGTATACCTAAAAAGATAATAAGAAAACATGCTCATGGATCACTGAGCTAATTTCAATTGGTACTGCTTTAATTTCAAATGTAATAAGTTACTTAACAAAATTTCTCTTAAAAGCTTCACATGAAATTGGAAGCATTATGCTCTCAGGCTGGAGACAGAAGGGGAATCTTGGAATAAAGCTTATTGATAATATACAGGTTGGCTAATAAGTCACTTTCCCCTTACATTTTGCTTCTGTATTTAACAAGTGTGAAATATAGCATTCATTGATGAATAAAGTTGCATTGGGGTTATATTCTATTATTTTCTTAAGTGCGATTTCCCTTGACTGGTACTTCCCCCATTCATATGTATGGCCGAAGTTGAGCAATTTGCTTTACTAAAGTCTAAAATTTTAATAGAATACTGCCCTTGGTCATTAGGCTATTTTGTGAGAGCAGTGAAATGGCCAATCAGTTAAAACATTCAAATAAATTCATTCAAAGCTGATGACCACCAGAAGCATAAATGACCAAGAAGCATTGTAAATTTGTATTCTGGAGGGCAAGATGTTCACACAGCACCTGAAGAAGACTTCATCAGGGCTCGTGGGAAAGTATTTTAATGCACAAACAATAAAATAGAACAAAAAGAGAACAAAACCAGATCTCTCATTGCTTCAGAATAAAATTCCAACAACTTTATTTAAAACAGAACTTTTCTGCATATTTTTCCCAAGAAAATAGTGTTTTCAAGGTAAAGTGACTTATTAGACACTCTGTACATGACTACTGTCATCAAATGAGGCATGAAATATAGAAATGCAGATCATTTACAAGTGCACTAACTCATGCCTGCAGTTACTTACCTCAAAGCATGGATCTCAATGAGATGATCTTTGAGCACAGGGAGTGCAATGGGCTCAATGGAGTGCACAAATGACTTATGCAGCTGGGAAATTTCCCAGAGATCACCCTCTTGCAGCTTCCACAATAATGCTTCTTCTACATAGTCCTCTTCATCTCTGTCTGTCTTCTCATCTTCTGATGCCTCAAGGGAGAATTCGGCTTCATAGGATGGGAACATGGTTCGCATTTCTTCTTCTACCTGCTCCTCTTCACTCTTCTGAACACCTTGACTCTTTCCCCTGCAACACAAAGGCTCATTGCAAAATGACAGAGTATTGAGCACTGAATAACTTACTGAATACTTGGATAACTATGCCTTGCAAAAAACCAGTCCTGACATGAACTAATTCTAGTGTGCATGACTGGTCATTCTACAAATACAATTAAGGTAATGTAATTATAAGAAATTAAAATAAAAACAAATCACCAAAAGCTGAAAGAACCTTTTCAGTTATATGTTACTAATTTTTCAAGAGCAAATTCTTTCTGATAGAGTAAGTGAAACTATATCAGCAATGTCTGCATGAAACTTGCTCCACTTATTCCAATTTGGAAAGTTAAATAATAGTTCACTGTTATTTAGCAAAGGAAAAGCCGAACAGATATGCAACCAGTTATAATGATCACTTGAACAAATCAATCCCCAGTATTATATTTAAGACCTTAATGATAATGCTCTTTGAGCCCTCTGCATCAATTAAGAAAACTGTGGAAAGCTTATGTAAACAAGTCTACAATAGGCATGGCATTTTGGGTATTCTGTATTCAAATCAAATCTTAGCAGGTGCACAATGGGTGCCCTCCAAATTCAATTAACTCTTTGCATCCTAATGACAAGCCTGACTCATGGCTGTAGCAAAGTGCCAAACAGCTATGTCATGAGTTAGATTTGTTCGTCATTTCCAACTCTTCTTGGTTCTACATTTTCGACTGACTCAGTTTTGACTGGCAATACCATGATACCAACACTCCTTCTAAAGTCTTTGTGCATTACAAATACATTCTTTGTACATTCAGTGACCTCCGACTTGTTTTTATGCATTGATACAAACTTCCTTTTATTGGAAAATATGGACAATAACAGGCATATGTTCCAGGTACCCCAGAAAAATGGCATGTAGGAAAAAAAAGCGTTTGGTGGAAACCCAAGTGGAGGAATACTTATGTGATAGTAATGAAGAAAGTATGGATGAAAATGAGTACTCCAGTGAAGAAGAAAATAGTGGTTACAAAATGTATTTGGATAGTAGTGCTTCTGATAGCGATGATTATTCAAATACAATACTTTCCTGTGTATAAATATGCAGCTCCTGTGTAATATAATCTGCAAATGTCATGAAGAAAGACTGTCTGGAAAATGATAGGAAGACTGTAACTAAAATGTTACAGTGTATTTTACTACTGTCAAATGATATCACATAGTGGTTACCAGTTTGATATTTGTTTTTATAACTGAATTTCCATTTAGTAGAGCATATACGAGGGTGGTTCATAATTTTTTGACCAAATAGCAGAAAGAGTCATTTGCAAGCCACAATATATTTACACTTTTTCCACACAATCACTGCCGATATCAATGCACTTTTGCCAGCGTTTCTGCACTACACAAAATCCCTACAAACATAATTACTGTGATCTGTCACCAAGCGCTGAATGGCTGCCACCGATCCTGCCGTGATGCTGATTGTAGGTCGTCCTGTGTTCATTATTTTGGAGACTGCTCCTGCCATGCAGAAATTCATGATGTCACCTCTCCACTGTGCACCCTGAAGGGGCCTCATCAAAGTATGAAGCTTTCAACTCCTGCTGGATTTGGTTACTGTTCAGCCCCTTTTTCGTGAGAAATTTTATAACCAACTTATTTATAGCTGCAATGAGCATGCAAAGGTAATGTTAAAATGTAGTGGGTAAAGAATCAAAATATGTTATTTCTGCTGGAAGGTTCTCAAAAGTTTATTAATGCAAGAAAACAAATTAATTTTTATAAACCATTTCTTTCACCCTTTTGATCAAAAATTTTTTGAACCACCCTCGTAGTGTCTTTACCCTGAAAGTTTCATGTCTCTAGATTGTATAGTTTAGTTTGAAAATGGCTATAGTTGACAGCAAGAAATAGGCAATTCCTGCCATTTTAAATATGGCTGCCAAGTCATGCAGAGTGCCATTTAACACTTTCGCTGCCAAGCCATTATTTGGAGGCCGTTCCCCTGAGGCCAAAGTAATCCTCCTAATTCTGGTGTGCATGACACAAGTGATTCCGTGAAAGGTGGGGATCCACTGGAGATGATGAACGCATGGGGCGGCAATCGACAAGCTGTAATGACGAAACTGAGCTTGTCCGTAATGACTGTCGACAATCAAACGGTACCTATGCTGTACCGTTGAATTTCTAACCAATCTTGGAGTGCCATTGCTCCCACATTCTTTGTATTCCTTGGACCTCAAACCTTACGACTTCAGGCTGATTCCAAAAATGAGGTGCCTTCGATGAATGGCCGCCGCTTCGACGACATAGGCGCCTGCCAATCAACTTGCGACCAACGTGTTGGACAAATTTGCCAAGAATGGGTTACAGTCTGTTCTAAGCTCGTTACAAACGAAAGGAAATGTGTGTTGCAAGTCAGGTTGAACTAGAGAGTTGACTGGAAAAAATTAAGCAACTTGAACAATTTTTTATACAGATAAATTCTTCAGCGAATTGACGTGAAAACGTAAGGATACCTCGTTGACGAGGTTCTTCAAGAGCTGTTGAAGTACAGTATATGCACCTTTGCCCATCTACTCTTGAGTCATGACAGATTTAATCGAATTGGTCAAATTTTCTGAGTGAACAGGCATGTGACTGCCAATGGGGAGGTACGAATCTGCATTTGATATTTGCCTAATGGATCAGTTCCTCTGGGATGATCCTCGCGAAAAAATTAATAGAACTTTGTCAAAACTGTGTACTCATCCATAAAAAGTTCATGCATCTGCATGCATTTTCAGGGATCCTCATGCAATTTGGATTCGTGCCTCGCAATGGCAGTCGCATGCCCTTTCTTTGCCATCTCAAAAAATGTGCTAATGTGATACTCATGAATGGGTATCCATAAATTCATATAATTTCAAGAGCTCTAGGAAAACATTGCAGCCAACGTTCCATTAAATTTTCAGACCAATGAATTACAAGGTATGGATTCTATAGAAAACTATCAAGTTGCTCATGAATGGGTATCCATAAATTCATATAATTTCAAGAGCTCTAGGAAAACATTGCAGCCAACGTTCCATTAAATTTTCAGACCAATGAATTACAAGGTATGGATTCTATAGAAAACTATCAAGTTGCATTCTTTTCTTGTTATCCATGCATTCCAAAAGGGATCATTCTGAAACAGAGCGTCTGCACATAGTTTGCTCATATGAAAACCGGTTCTGGACCTTTTTGATATGCCCACGTACATACTGTACTATATATAAAGACTCCCGTAATATGCCCTATGCGCAGAAATGAAAAAAAAAGTAATTTCCACTTTACCCTTATACGGATATATATATACTTATATTGAATACATTGTAAAAGAAATGAGAAGTGAAACACCGCCAATTTGATTTAAAATTGACTTCATCAGAAGGCGACGATAAAATTCGTAAGATGAAAGGAAGAGGTCAATAGATCGTATCACGCAAAGCAATGCAAACCACCCGTCGCAGGTCGTATGATCTGGTAGAAAGGACCTGTACGACCCGCCGGCGGCTCGTATGACCCAGGAGAAGAGAGAACGTACGACCCGCCGGCGGGTCGTATGCCAGCGAAAGTGTTAAGAGCAGCTAATGAGTTGTTTACCATCTGTCTCTGCCCGGCACCCTGCCATCGCCTCCGCTACGCTGTGGACGTGAGGACTCCGAATGAAGCTTTCAACGAATATACCTATCTCTGGATCTATTTCTCTGAGGATATCGTTGAAATTCTGGTCGAGAAAGAGGTCTACGATTTCATCCAGGCGGTGGGGGAATTCGGTGGCTGCCTTGGTATGTTCCTCGGCATCTCCCTCGTCTCCTTATACGAAACCCTCGACCGACTTATCCAATTCTTCATTGCAAGACGCACCGCCAGAGAATAATCATCTATTTGGAAGATTTCGACTTGAACGATCTATAACTGCGAAAACAAGGAGACTATCGGTGCACCTTGCAATAGTTTATGCTCCATGTGACGTTGCAAAGTCGAAGTATCGTTGCGGTAACAGCAGTATCCAGGGACTGCTTGAACTCTTTTTCTCATTAATTTGTGCATGGTGAGGAAACGCTCAAGAAGACCAGGAAAGGGCACAGCTCAGAAATCCCATCGTTCCATTCTTTTCTTTCACGAAACAGAAACTGCCTTAATAGTAACATTTTGCCAGGAGAAGGAAGTCAATTTTTGCACGAAACCGCGGAAGACGGGGAGGGCTAGAGAGAGGGTCATTCGTTACAAATCGAACAGAATCATTGAAATTTGAAAGACTCGCCTTCAGCTTTTTTTTTGGAACGATGATACGTTCTTATTGGCAGCCCTTGAGGTGGCCGGTTCATGGGTAAGTACATAATGGGGAAAATGGTGTTTTTTGCTGTCGCTCCTCTGTATCGTGTACGAACTCATGGGCACTCTAAATCCTTAAGGTTTTGACGAGGGTCATTCCATGCCAATTCGACTAGTGAGTGAGCTCGACCATCTCTGATTTTGACGAAAATCGGCATACACGTTGAGGAATCGATTTAATGAGGACAATTGACCAATTTTTTCAATCTCTCCCACAAATCTGCAATTGCATGCACTTTATTCAGAAGTAATTTTCTCTCCCAGCGCCCAAACGAACTGGAATTCCGAAACTTCTTCTGCAATAACTACCCCTCTGGTTCATATCAGCCTCATTTTGAATTCATTTTAATTGTGAGATTACCGTATTTAAAATGACTGAAGACAGTATTCTCCAAAACTGAAAGAAGAAGCTTCACTTGATCAAACCGTTTGATCAAGTTCAGAAAAATATCGTCACTTGCCACCTCGTGAATTCGTTGTTTAAATATTTCATTTAAAAAAATGGAATCAATTGTATGTCATTTCTGACGGTATGGAATTGGAGAATGGCACTCAACGGCTTAACGAGATACAAATATTTTCGTGTGTCAGTAGTGCCCAATTTCCACTGGTTGGAACTCTTTCACCGACTTCAGTGACCGATAGCTGCACTTTCACTCGAGGAATCCAGACTTCTTATCCTAACGAAGTTCTGCGATGAACATTGTGGTCGACTTCGAGTGGCGTCTGATCTGCTGAATGCCAGAGAAATCATTCCATTCGATTCTGGAGCAGAGAATTGTGATCAAGTTCTTCGTTGTGAAGGCGTCAAACCAAAGGGAGATTCAAGAGCGAATGACAGCTCTCATTCGCTCTCATTGGATTGAATATGTTCACCTGTTCAGGAAATAGGGCATGAACGCCGTACATTTTTTTATTATTCGTGACCCACTTAAATTTTCTGGATGTGTCAACTCCATACTCATTCTCGATCTGTCAACCCCGTACATTTCCTCATATTCTGGTTTCCATACATACCCTCAATTCATGAATTCCATACTCTTTCTCCAATCCTAAATTTCTATAGAAAACTATCAAGTTGCATTCTTTTCTTGTTATCCATGCATTCCAAAAGGGATCATTCTGAAACAGAGCGTCTGCACATAGTTTGCTCATATGAAAACCGGTTCTGGACCTTTTTGATATATCCACGTACATACTATATGTAAAGACTCCCATAATATGCCCTATACGCAGAAATGAGGAAGAAGTAATTTCCACTTTACCCTTATACAGAGATATGCTTATATTGAATACATTGTAAAAAAGAAATGGGAAATGAAACACCGCCAATTTGATTTTAAATTGACCTCATCAGAAGGCGCCAATAAAATTCATAAGATGAAAGGAAGAGGTCAATAGATCGTATCATGCAAAGCAATGCAAACCACCCATCGGCAGGTCGTATGATCTGGTAGAAAGGACCTGTACAACCCGCCGGCAGGTCGTATGACCCAGGAGAAGAGAGAACGTACGACCCGCCAGCGGGTCATATGGCCTAGGAGGAGAGAGCCCTTATGACCCACCAGTGGGTCGTATGGCAGCGAAAGTGTTAAAGAAGGACTGAAGTGGTTAAGTCCTTTGACTCACTTGTAAAGATATGCTGCCTCCCTCTCAGCATCTTCCCGTATCTGTTGCTCTTCCTGGGCCTTCCACAATCCAACCACCAGATCCAACAGGGTTTCCCATCCTTGCTTTCCGTGTCTGGAGCCTTGAATAGCCTTTGTAACACATTCATGCTTCAGCTCTGCCTTCAAACACCTGCAGATTAATGCCCACCATTGCAAGGTACACTCTTTGCCAGAGGCTGCCACTCTTTTTGGTGTAAATTGAGACACTTACAGGATCTTGATAAGGTCTCTCTTCCATTCCAGTATGTTCAGCCGATTCATTAATTGGTCCATTGTTGGGATAAGGTCCAGGAATGCCTCTGAAGATCCAAACAGATGGAAGGCAACCTTGGATGAGCATTGGGAGAAGTTGTCTCCCAGCTGCTGCTCGGCCACAACATGTGATAGGAGTTTCAGGCCATAGATGCACTGTGGGCATGGTAAAATAAACCCTTATTCCATGGATTATTTGCCATCATGTCATACCATATTTTTATACAAAGATCATTCAATGGGTTTTGACAACACATTTTAATTTTTCAATCAGAAAAATATATAAAATTCATCCCAGCACAACCTTTCAATATACTCTCTCTCAAGAGTCACGCATCACTGCACCTTAACCCTTCCATTACTGAGGGTCCTGGTGGTACCTCATGTAAAACTTTTCGTTAAAGTTTTTTTAGCACCTACTTCAAATTGTCATTTGATGCCACTAATTTAAATATAATAAACTTTCTAAACCATTAATTTTGGCTTCATTCTAAGTGCGTAATTCTATCTTTATTCAATTTAAGTGAGTTAAAATGTGATTTTGACATTACCAGTGCAAACTTTTTTTTTTACATCAATATTAGGCTGGGGTGCTGTAAATACCGCCTTCAGTAAAGAATGATAACTTAAAACTTCATTAATCAAGGAACAGACTGAGGAATGTTTCACAGCAGTTAACTTGACACTACATGGCAAATCCTGAATGTGTGAAAATTTATTCCAATCTTGACTTGAAAATGATCCTTTAATCAACCCGTGGCTGGAGAGAGCCACATAATAAATTTAATAAAGTAAAATTACAGGAAACATACAATTGCCTCAATGGCTTGCAGGAATGGGTCTTTTTGCACAATCAGAACTTTGCTGAAGCTTTCCATCCACAGCTCAAGTTTACACCTCAGAATACGAACTCTGGGTGCTTTAATAAGGATGCAATGTTGCCTGCCAATAGGAAAATAAAAATGCTTCACCAAAATTTATTACACAGCCCTCCTATATGTGCTACATTTTAGTTCTTATGAAGCATGAATGCTGCAATAGGGAAATGTGTAGGGGTTGAAATAGATATCTTACCTCGGCTATAGCAACCATAGGAACTAGAACAAGATCCTGGTACCACAGGTACTTCTCCTCCAGCTTTTCAATGAAAGCCAGCATTGCCTTTTCCTGAGCCTGCAATCTTTTGGCAAGTGTCCCACCATCCACTTGCTTCAGGTGAATAGCATCCAACAAAGACAAGAGCACTTTGCTTTTCCCAATGCTCTCAGTGTACTGACGAAGATCTTTCTTCAATGCAGCAAATCGAGAAGGTAGTGGGCGGACAGGGAGAGCTTGTGAACACTTCTGGATCTGGGTCTGGAGCCTGCTGATCATTCGATGAAGGAATGAGACATAGGGATGCATGTGTTGTGGGTGCACATTATTAAGTTGTACTCCACGACTGTGCTTCCATTGGTGCTGGAGTACAAGGAGATCTCCCTCCAGGTTCTCCAACTGTTCTCAAAAAAGAGAAAGTGCTTTGTTCAAAATGCCACTTGGTAGGGTAAAATACCCAATAATGGGCCTGTTAAGGGCATGTACTCAGTGATGGGCCAAGATGCAGGGAAATTCCAAATACTAGACATCTGCAACATGAACACCTGTGAAGTGTGTAAATGTTTGCTTGTTGCTAGTTTATGTCATTATAAGGATATGTGTGCTATGGAAGCTTAGCTGTTGGAATTTTTATGTGTTATGGCCCATCACTGGGAACAGGTCCATCATTGGGTATTTTACCCTACCATATTGATAATACTGTGGGAAAAAAAAGTGATAATTTCAAGCTCAATGCATCAGATTCCTTCAATGGAAATCACTAAACCCCCCAAACTTCCAGTTCCACCATACATTTTAAGGAAAATGTCAAATATTAATATATTATGTGTCAAAAAGTCTCAACTAATGACAACTGTCATTGTACCTACATTTTCTACCTGTTCCATATACACTCAATCCTGAAAAAATTTGGAGCATTTTTAAACTTGTAGTCACTTTTAATTGATTTATACCATTGATTTTGAAGGCTGACGAATACATAAAATGAGTGCATGCAAACTAAGTTGTATCAAATCTATTGATTCATTTTGGAAATACAGTAGCACATTCTAAGTGAGGTTGCAATGGACCAGTGAAGTCAGTGTGAGCACTGCCAACTGGAGAGGAAACCCACTGCTCCCCAATAACTGGAGAGTATGAATTATGCAGTCTCTGAGTTTTGACCTAGGTAATGTGCCTTTGCACAAAATGACAGTGGGCACTTTGAGCACCTCTTCTAAGTGTGAAAGATATGAGAATATTGTACTTTTCTTTTTGGTTGTACATATCAGGTCAGCAATCCTGTATGAGGCAAAACACTGAATTTTAGATACACAGTTCTGGCTGCACTCCCTTACTGCTGTCATGCTCTGAATTACATCCTGTATATGAAGAACCAGAAAATGGATATCATCATTGCTTTGCATGCATAGGCTCATTCGATGCATTAGTCAGTCCTCAGTAGTAGTACAGCAGTAATCCAAACCAATTTTGAGCAGCTAAAAATGGAAATGGTCCAAAATTTTAGAGACTAAATTTGACCTCACAGAAAAATTGTGTTTAAAATACATTTTCCATAAAAAAAACATACATAGCACTCTTTGGTACCACTTCAAACAAAAATCTTCGCATCTTTTTCTTGCCTTCATAAATACTGAGTTTTCATTTATAGATTCCTAGACAAACATTTTGCTTTTCCAAAATGCTATCCAGAGCACTAAGGTCAGAAGATAGTGTGAGACAAACCTAGGGTCAGTTATTTTTAAATAGTCAAAAAAGCAGAGCCACTCAATGAATTCCAATGGTACTTTCTGAGCAACTACCTGCATGTCAGGTTGATTTTTCAAGTGATTCATCAAAGATGTACCCCATCATTTTGAGGTTGAACATTCAACATATAACAGCAGTAAGTGCTAATGTACCAAAAGAACAGCATCATTGCAAGTACCTTATTATTTTTTAACTTGTATAAGATGACAGAAACCATCAGTGAATTTTACACTTAACTTTATCCATTGGTATTTTATGTGGCCACTTGGCAGCAGTGAAATGATATACTCAAGAAAAATAAATGCACCTTCCCAAGGGTCATAAAGGTTGAGTTCCCTTCAAATATGATTCAAGGATTCTCCTACAGGACTTCAAAACTCCCATTCAGGTCTTTACACAAGGAAGTAATGATAATTAACAATCAGAATATCTCCCAGACTTAGGAAACAACAATTCAGTTTCCTATGAGCATTGAGAGCTTCCATCAGTCACTAATTCCATATCATAGCTACAGTTATTTTATCCTGAAGAAGTAATTAAACCACCAAGGCATTCAGCAGAAGATTCAATATTTTCCCAAAATGTGCTAGATTTGAAATAGGCTGTTATGCAAAGGTTCAATAACAAAAAGCACCTTCTCTGGCTTCTGTTTTTTATCTTCAGCATTTAAAAGTAAGCTATTCTTCACAACAATCAAGACTTTTAAATTTAAAATGAGCAAAGCAAATACATGGAAAGAACAGCCATTTTTCACAGTACATGATCTGATAGGCTTATAAAAGTGCAGACTACTAGAAGGAGCTGCACATGTGCGAAAGTCAGGATGCATCTGTGTGGCCATCACAGCAGGCAGATGTCAAGAGTTATTACTTTTGGGATCCATTCAGGAGACAATGTAGACAAAGTCATGAGATTTTGGTTGAGGGTCACAGGGAGCTCCACAATAACAGCTGTTGAATGCAGCCACCATCACTCTCAACAAGAGCCCCTATTCTGGATAACACTTTCACAACAGCTGTCTGGTGCATCACTAATGAGTAATGAAGTAATGAATGACACACTAAGGTCTCTCCATTACTACATACACAGTCTACTTCTCAATACTACCTCAAGTCACATCCAGTGTGCATCTATATCCTAAACCAGTGGTGCCCAACCCATGGCCCATGGGCAAAAAGTGTCCCTCGAGGTGCTTACAAGTGGCTGCAAGGCCCTAACCCACAATAAATACCCTTAGGTTTCCTTAAAATAGTCTCTTACAATACTAGTGACTGGCCTGCAATGGCTGTGGGAGTGAGCTATGTGGCCCCCTAGCTGAAAAGGTTGGGCACCACTGTCCTAAACCATTTGTACATATCCCTCCACCATGGTCCCGTGACCCTCTTTAACTACATGCCTTCATTTCCATCTTCTGCTATATCCATACCTGAAGTGACTTTTGCATCCACATATCTGCTAACTAAAATGTTCCCAGTAGGCCTCCTGACTTTTGAACCTCCTTGTAGAGAAGTAATCAATGTTGAACTAGGGTCTGTCCACCATGTTGGATGTGACATCTGGAGTAATGTGTTAGTTATACAAAATGTATTAAACTATATTATAAACGATGAATCAACATACAAAGATTGCAACATTTTGCTTTAGGCAGGGACTGAAAATTCCATAATCCAAAGTCTTGAGTACCCTTTTTTGATAGAGGTGTACCTATGTGTGAAGAAAAGTGTCAGACATGAAATTTTGTGAAACTTCAGGTTTAAGTCACTTACTGTAATGTTCAAATTCTGTCATAGAGCAGAACCTAATAACTTAGTATTATGCTCATGCTATAGTTTAAATGAAAGGCTTTAATTACTATAAGTAACCAGGATCACTATACATGGAAAATAAAGTAAGGCTGTTTTGCGACTGTGTCAGATGTGACATGTTCAGAAAATTTATTTTAAAAACAAAAAGTCTATACAGATATTTTAATGTTATTTTCAATGTATCATTCAAATGTGAACAATTGACATCTACTCCTCACACCTGACCTGATTTGAAATCACCAGTATGCATAGGAGAACCCATGGTGGCATCTGTTCCAATTGAACAATTCAGTCTCTCCAGATTTGTCTTTTCATCACATCCATGAATATCTTGAGAACGGTATGAATAATATAAAACAAACATGACTAATTCTTTAATTTTTCAATGTAATATTCTCCTCCATGCATGCCTTCTAGGAAAAGAGATGATGAACTTTCATAGCGAAAGCAATATTGGCATATTTAGAGAAATTTCTGGTTGAAATCCTAGGGCCACTTGGGGTGGACAGACCCATAACTTCTTTTGATGTTACTGGAGAATCCAGAAAGTCCAGTTCAACCAGAAAGAAAGATCAGTGAAAAAGGGGATTGGGATGAGGGAAGTCACCTGGATGATGAGATATGACTTCTTCAAGCGTGTCTTCTCAACAGGGTCAATGTGGCTGAGGCATGTGCTCAGCTGGACCTGGAGGGCACCCAAACAAACCCAGGCTCCCCCCATCTCCTCCCATGATGGACTCTCCTGCAGTGCCTCCATATTCCGACTCAGTCGACAAATTAGCTCCTCTCCTGGGTATGAATAGGAATCAGTGATTCCATTAATTCTGATTTCCTTAGTTAGTAGTACAATGACTTCTGCCTGTTCTCACAGCTACATTCAACACTGATGTGCTGAAGTGCTTTGGAAAAATGATGGCAGCCATGCTGCTGATTATTTAGGGCATTTCTTATTGTGGAATGGTGACATACACATTGATACTTGTACCTTAAAATATCACCAAAAAAATGGAAGGGGTAAGGCAAAACCAGTTCAAAACCAAGCAAGGGCAAACAGTGCCAGTGAGAGCAAAAAATGGTAATTTCAGCAAAGGTGTTTGTAGTTTTCAATGAAAACTTTGAGCACATGAAATAAAGAGCAAGTTAAATTGTAGATAATGGCAAACTAAGTTCAACTCGATCCATCCCGGAAGATTCATTCCAAAGCTGTGTGGCAAAACCACATATACAGGGTGGCGCTGGCACTATTGGCACTATTTTCAACGCGTATTTTTGGTGCAATGCTTTTAAGGATATTTTTTCTGGTTACATGTAATGGAAAGAAGAAAGATTCAGCTACAAATTACTTTTTTCAGACTTGAAATATCTTAAAGGATGACATAGGAAAAATGTATTTAATTTTGGTTCTGAAAAATCGACATTGTGCTCACCAACTTGACCCAGCATCCAGTTGACATCCCTGCACTCAAGAGAAGAGGAAGGGAAACGCTGACCTTAGCAGATATCGCGAGGCTGATTGGATGTGCCTGCCACTGTATGCAGTCGGTGAGCGTAACACTGATTTTTAGTAACCGATATTCAATAATTTTTTGCTAGGTCATCCTTTAAGATATTTAAGTCTGAAAAAAGTACTTTGCAGCTAAATCTTCCTTCTTTCCATTACATGTAAACAGAAAAAATATCCTTGAAAGCATCACACCAAAAATGTGCTTTGAAAAGAGTGCCATTTTTTTTGGGTCACCCTGTACAAGCTTGACTAAGCCAAAAATCACTTATTGGTGCAGAAGTTCTATTCCCACAAAATATGAATTTTTACTGTTATATTGTATTCTTCCAGCCACATGGGCCAAAATTTAGCTAAATAGCAAATACAATGTATTTGTTTGCATTTTACACTGGAAAAGTTCCATTATAAACATGATCAAAAAGTTTCTGCTTTTGGATATAAGGAAAGGCAATTTATGAAATAAAAATTTACTTTTTAACTGGACATCAACACCAATGCCATTGATATAGGAAAGGGATTCAACCTCATTGGAAAAAATTCATTTTCCATAGATGTCTAAAAATGCATGGACTGCTTCATTGAGTTCATTTTCAATTTCATTGCTATTTCAAAGGAAGGTTCCCTTTAAACTACTAAGCATTGAATGAGCAGTTTCATTTTAATAATAGACTATTGTCCATTTCAGTTAATTTAAGAAATGGAAAAATAAATAAAATACTTATTTCCCTTTGTTTTGGCTTGTCCCTTACTCTCCCCATAAATGCCTGCATCCTATCAATTTGCTTGTGCTTTCAGATTCAAAGTTCATTAATGCATTACATAGAGAGAGTAGAAATAATGCAATTTTATGCCTTTTTTGGCCATTCATTTCTTTGATTTCTTGAGATAGACAATAATGCCTAATTAATTTTTTTAACAAAAAAAATTGTATCTCTGCTCAGCATTACACTTTCATGTCATTTCGCAATGGAATGATATTTGGCTGGAACATTTAAAAAGTATAAAAAATTGCTGTTAAATTGTTGACACTTGAAATTACCAGAATGGGGTGGTGGAATAAGGGAACCAGCCTTCAGCCTTCTTCAATAATTTCTACTACCTCAGGGCAGAAACTTTTGGATCATCCCCCAAGTCACACTGAATTCCAGATCAGTACAATCTTTCCTTTCTGTTATCCAATTTTATCTGCACTATTTGTGTTTTTCATTGAGGGCAGCATTTCCAGTGTAGTGCAATGCCCTGAAGGTATAGAGCAGGCATAGCCCAATGGAGCTATGCTGTAGCTGACGTTCAAAACAATGCAATTCTTCAGCAATTTTCAGTGGACTGTTGCCAGCCACAAATCATAAAGCTCAGACACAGCCTACTCTATCATCAGTTTGGTCAGTTGAAGGACCAGCTTTGTGGATTACACTTCATTGATGGCAAAAATCTTCAAAATTCTGTAAGACCATGGCTACAACAAGAAACAGGCTTCATAGAAGGGGTACACAATTGTTGCCTTCCAGATGGCAGGAGTGCATAGATTCAAACAGTGATTATTTTTGAGGGGTAAGAGCGGTACCAATTTTGGTATTGATGAAAACAATGGTTCAGTTTTTATTTAATGTTTGTGAAAAACTTGCAAACACTCCTTGTCTACAAAAGTCAATTATTAGTATATTGTAGTGGGCTGCATAGAAATAGAAACTGAGCCACACTTGGAATACCACTGGCCCCTATTGGGTGTTACTTCCTACATCTGCTTTTCATTTCACCTTCAGCCAAATGCAAGTGAAACTGACACTTGAAAATACTGCTGTGAAGTGATGTTGTACAAAAAGTAACATGCTTTCCAGATAGAGAAGGATTATGAATCAGGATGTATCCAGAATAGTACCTGGAAGTACTTGAGATAGGTGTCTGAGGGCACTGCTTAGGTCTTCACAGCACACATCTCCCATTCCCTGGACTTCACAATAAGCTGCAAGGACAGATCTCATTCGCCTCTCCAGGCAGTTCAATTCCAGCAGCCTGTCCAAGCAAGCACATGACAAGAGTTATTTCAATTTTGTAGCAAATTCTGAGTATTTCTGCCAATTTTCATCTGCTATAGAGAAGCAGTGCCTTACAATGGGCTTTGAGAGAGGAGGTCAGAGTGAGCCCAGAGACTGTAAGAGATCGCCTGGACCTGCTTCAACTTTAACTCTGATTGGCCAAGAGGTACAGGGATTACTGTGTGCAATTCTTCTTTAGGATTATTTGGTAACCCTGCAAGTACTTGTAAGAGGCTGTATGTCAGGATCCCAGAATGCATGCCAAGGTTCACCTAAGAGGAGGATGGAACATTTTAAAACAAGAAAACCTCAGTTAACAGGGTTTTTTTTTTTTCATGTGAGACTCACCAGATCATCTGGAAGAGTGCAGAGATCGGAGTTGAGCCAGGCATTTGCCTGATGAGTTGCTGGAGATGTCAATGCCAACATGAGAAATTCAAACCACTGGTTCAGGTCTTTCCGTGGGAAATTTTGACAATTTCGCAAGACCAGTAGGCATGCCAGGGGAAGCAACTGGGATTGATACATGCAATACCCCTCTCCTTGATTCTCCTCTTCATTGAGTTTCTTCCATTCCTCTTTAATAAGATTTAGTCCTACAAAAAGAGGTATTTTTATCTGAAGCAGTTGGTATGAAGTCTATCATGTCTAAACATGTCCAAGTTCTAAGTCAGGCACAAGAAGATTGTACCATATAGATTTTATCAAAGATAAAAACCATGATTAATTGATTTCACTATATTGAAGAATTGCCACAGGGGTCTTTCATTCATGTTGAACACATACATAATCATAGAGGGTTATCTCACCTTGAATGTCCTTGCATGAAATGAATTGGTGAACAAGCAAGGAGCCCTGTTGTGAGGACAGGAATGTCAGCTTCTTTTGGTAATTACTTCTGTGGGCATCTACCACATGTATTGGCCATAGACGAAGTTCACTCTTTTCCCATCTATACATACACATCATCAGCATTTCACTTCCAAAGGTCATCATCTCATGCCTCTACAGGTTGCTGTAATTGGTACATGTCAGAAGAACTGGTGCATCATGATACTCACTTCTTATTATTCAAATATTAAGTTTAAAGTACAGGTACTAGTAGGCAAGAGAATGAAAGAGGAATGGAATGGAATCCACTATCTCACAGCATCCTCACTCATCCAAGGAAGATGTATCATTATAATTATATGCAACTGTGCTCCAATTATGCATAAATTGTTTCGTCATTTCAGATGCATAAGTGCCAGGTGATTTTCCACATAGATATAAAATATATAGGGATTTGTCCCTGTCCCTGAAGCAATAATTATTTGGATTGCTTACTGAAGACATGCTTCGGTAAACTGGCCCTCTTCTCTGGTAAGGAAGCCCTTAGGTGATCCAACAAGATGGCTGAAAGTTTTCGAGATCTTTGATTCCCCATGCAATGCAATGTCTAGGTGTGAGTCAAGAATCTCACACTGCTGCTTCCATGGAGCTCTAGGATGAAAAAATTGTCCAAGAAGGAATAAGTAAAAACACTTATCAGAGGGCAGTCAAGAGAGAAAAGATAAAGGAAAAGACAACACAAACTTGACAAGAAGCAGTTGGAGATCTTGAAGAAGATGCTTAGACACCCAATACCAGTGAAGAGCAAGGATGCTTAGTGCTTCATCTAATGAATCCTGCTCTGAACATGACCTATGTGCAGATTCAATGAGATGCCTCAACCAGTGCAGGCCCAGACTCAGATGATTGGCAATGTCATCTGTGCAATCTTGAAATGGCTGCTGTGACACATGCTCCAAGGACAGGATCAATTGAGAAAGAGTTGGGATGAGGTGGAAGAGGGACTTGTGAGTGATGACCTCAGCCGGTGTGTGACCTGTTATGATAGTAAGAAAAGTAAAAGTTCAGTGACAATAACAATCCCAAAAGAAGAGAATACATAGTGCACCATAAAAGGGCCTATCCAAAGTACATCATAGTATGTATGGAAGTACACCAGAAGATGATGCAAGAAGACCCAGCACAAGGGTTATACAGAAGAACTGAAGTATTGAAGTCTCATCACTCCAACAGAGACACAACAAATAAGTAGAGGCCAGTTTTGCACTCTTTGTCAAAGAAATAAATCAAAAGAATACTGGGATCAAGTCAGAAAACTGAGAACTTCAATGCAGAAGCAAAATTAACCCATTCACTGCTACCTAGAAGTTAGCATATTAAATGCTGTGTGCAACAAGAAATTGAAAATATAGCCATATATCTATTTTACCTTATCACTGTGACCTGGGGTATGGCCACCCTGCTATGACTTGAGGTTTACTCAGACCCCTATCAATTTGATGTGGGATGCCTGCTCAGACCTAGTTTTTCAGCATGTATTTTCACTATGTTTGAAACACACTACCAAAAGCTGTCACTGAAAATTATGACCTGGAGTAAAATAGTTTTTTGCAGAATAACATTAAAAAAAAGGGTTCTGCCTGGGGTCTGCCCAGACCCCAGGTCAGAGTGATAAGGTTAAATTTTTATTTAAACAAAGTCTATTTAAATTAAATAAATTTATAAAATTATGACACATCAACACATCAAGCTAGCACACAGCAAGAGTTAGGGTATAATGAGTTTACCAGTCATATAAGTAGTTAATAGTCAACTTCTCCCTGAGGCATGAGAGTGAAACTCCACCTATGCAGATTCCATCAATCTGTTCAACAGGCATCATTCTTAGGAAGTCCTATTCAGGGACACATAACCTTATTCTGAACCCCAAGTTGCAAGAACTGGTCTCCACTCAAGTAAGCTGAAAAATCCTGTTCTTCAAGAGATCCATGAGAAGAGCATAAGCATAGACAGAGCTCCCCACACACCCAAGTCCACCAAGGTGTGTGGTTATTGACCATCAGCTGAACTTCAATCTACATAATGACTACTTGTTCAAAAAATGTTATAGCTGATCCTTCCATGTAGTGTAACTGTTGAAAATGAGCTGCAATTCCTATGCAGATGAGGGGTTTCTGTTGTATTATATTATTCCATGTCTTCTTTACTGTGCTCCAATTTTTCTGGTGCAAGCAAGAGAATAAGGCAAAACTTGTATAAATCATCAGTGATCTCCAATCACAGGCCCAACAGGTGTTGAAAGAAGACCAGGGGCGGTATTTTATTAAAATCTTAGACTTAAGTAAAGCAAATTGCCCAACCTTGGTCATACATTTGCATGGGGCAAGTACCAGCTAAGCACCCTGCTAAGAGGGAAATCACACTTAAGAAAGTAATAAAATATGGTCCCAGCATTCCAGCTGCAGAGAAACTATGCCATAAAAAACGTCTATGCAGAATAGCAAGAGAAGGTATTATAACACCATAGTCAATTCTGCAAATTCAAAAACCCTTTTTTCTTTCAGAAAGAGTATCATGCAGTCATATTCAACAGCATCCAATGAGTCTTACAAGATAAAGATAAATATGCTCTGCTCAGATACATGCAAACCACAATGTGATGAAAATAAAAAATATCCCATTCTAACCTGCATTATATGTTAAAGCCATGTCCCAAATGCTCCACTTCTCAATCTTCCTCTCTTTCTTTTTCTTTGGCTTCTGAAATTCAAGCTTCTCCTTCCAGTTCAGGTGGGTAAGGAACTCTGCAATGCTCAATGACATCTGAACACGGTTCCCCCGTTCCTTCTTGTCCTCTACAGTCTGTTGATGGTCCACAGGAAGTAGGCTATTCCACCTGACATCAAATGGAATCCAATTGGTTTGGCTATGATGCATGTGCAATGACTGGCACAGCTGTGATACTAAATCCCTCAGTTCACTTGGGATTATGTCAAGGATCAAGGAATGGAGAAGGAACAGGGATGCGGGTGAACTCTGAGAGAGGACAAGTCGAATAGCACGTGATGTGTGAGGAGTGTTGGCAAAATCCTCAACAACACTGAGGAGGTGAAGAGATTGGCACAGATTTGGATCTGTGATGGCCTCACGCAATGACACCAGGGAATGTGGGTTCTTCATAGAGTATGTCTCATCTTCAAATTGCTGGGTTGGAAAAATACCAAACAGGAATACTGTTACAAACAAGCACCTCCATACCAAATGAGAACACCCTCTGCCCAATACTATTGACCCATGGTCTATGTGAGATGATTTATGTCATAAATGGGTACTGCAGCTTCAGAATCTGAGTCAGTTTGCTCAATATGGTCTATGAATTAGCAGATATCTTTTTTGCTTTAAAAAAAATTAGACTTTGATTAAATGGAGGACTCTGGTCCGATTAGGAAGATGCTTTCTGGTAAAGGTATTCAAAAGTGAGCTCCATGACACCTTTGAAAATAACCTTGGACAAAAACAGGCATACATAAGTGGACAAGCCAAATGCTACTGTAACCCTATCTTTTTTTTTATCTGAAAAGTAAAAGATCATAGGAAGTTTCCACAAAAGAATCTCATCCATAAATGATGCCATCTAATAGCATACTTAAATCTTAATTGATAGGACTGCAAGTAATAGCAAAATTAAATAGAGTTATGTTTAAAATTAATCATTGCAGATCTCTTGCAATATTTGGACCTTCTATATGTATTTCTGCTATGGTAAAGGACACTTTGCTGATGAAACCTTACACATGAAATCGCTTCCTCAACAAGGTGGGCAGCCTGATGCCGCCATTCGGACACTGGTAAATTGTCGATGAAGACTGAATGGGAGCTGAAATGCAGCGCATCAGAGAAGGAAATTCCATGTGCGAGCTGGTCAAAGGTGAGAGTGGCTGCATGTAACAAATCTCTCATGGAAGGTCTCACATCACCTATTATGAAAAAAGGAAAATAGAGGAATACCAAAAAAGGGTAATCATTTAATCACATTATTTTTTGTATAATAAAAGGGGTAAGACATGTTCTATAATATAATGACATACCTCATTCATGCAGTATTTACAAGGGTTGCTAATTTATTAAAATAATGAATCATTAAAATTGAGCCACTATTTTCTTCCTGAATGCACTCAATAAAAGATTTGACAAGGCTCTCACTTCTCTGAGCATTATTCTGATAGTTTTGCTGTTTTATATTTCTTCTCCTGAATGAATATATATATTTTTCCACTTACAAAATATAGTACAGTCAACCCTCAATAGGACAACATTGTTCATCATTGCTTTTGGCACTATACTGGGAGTGACACTAAATTGAATCAACCACAATCGCTTGTATAAGCTGAAAGGGTGATTTTGTAGAGGTTGGCAATAAGCATGGCACAATAATGAGGGACAATATACTGTACATTTTTTAATACCTGTGGCAGAATAAAATAGTTGCCTTCTCAAATCCATCACTTTATCACATTTAAGTAAAAAAATTAATTGATTAAATTGGAATATTTCCCATTATTTAAAAGAATTGTGATTATGACTTTACTCGATGAATCAGCCAATTATCTATTTGTATTGGCAGCCCTAATATATTAATACTTATGTCCAGTAACATTTGATTTGTTGGGAGGCTTAGAGAACCACCATTTTGACAACAGCAATTCATCCATATCTTTTGAGTTATTTTATGGAACATGAAACACCATTCATATCACCCATTATGCCTATTCTATTACTTATATAGTACTTATGTCCTTTTTTAGGTTCACCAGTCTAGAACCTGCTTCTTCATGACAAAAATGCAGAAAGGAATATTGATGATGTACATACTTGGTAGAAGTGCAGAAATGTGAGACACAATCCAGAAGAGGACAGCTTGTTGGGAGGAATTACTCAGTCCATGGTCCACCATCAAGACAGAAAAGTCTTCATCCTCAATACTGGGGTTTTGTAGCCATATCTCCACTCCTCGATTCCGCATTGCTCTGGAAGAACAAAGGGTGAAGGACCCCAAGGGCTATAAACTATCTATGGCTAGCATAAGAGGAAGGAAGGAATGCAGACAACAGTACCGTGAGATCTCTCCATTTTTGGGGTCTAGAGTAAGGAAGATTCGAAAATCTGGATGGGGAGAGATGCTGCGGAGGGAGCCATCTTTCTCAAGTCCCTTTTCATTTAGAGTAAGACAACCCTGGGGCTCCAAAAGTCCATTGAGCCGATCCAGGAGAGAAGGACTGCACAAGTTCACATTATCCAGGAGCAGCCAATCTCCCCTTTCCAGAGCCTTCAAGAATCAACATTACTGTCACGTGAGTTCATAACCTTGTGGCTAATCAATGGCTGGCCACCAAGACATTGTCAGGAGCAAGAAAGATCCTTAGGCTTGACTTAATAATAAAGTTCAAGTAAGGTTCATGAAATCTTAGTAAATGACACCTCTATGACTTCTTTGTGCATAGCACAATGACCCATTCTTACACATCCATCATTATGGCACATTCAATGAGCATGAGCCTGCATAAATATGCTGGCAACTGAATGCCTTATCCGAGAAACTCAAGGAGCACTTGAGTCAACTCAACTATGGTATTGTGCCCAGTATCCAACCTTTTGAGGTCAAGATAGAAACTTGAATATGTATTTTAGGTTGGCTACTTTGGACATGACATAAAACTGCCCAGTGTCCAGTTCATAACATGCATCATCATAGTTTCACTTTACATGGTACACGCAACTGCTGAATGCATCCACTCTTACAGAGAATCATATGTGAAATATAGTATTTGGATGCTGGCTGGGGCTTAAAAGACATGACATTTGAGAAACACTTCACTGACAGGCACAGAATGATAGGGAGAGGCTGACCTTAACCAAGATGCTGTCAACCCAGGAGAAGCGCCCCCCACCACTGATTGAGTCCTCTCGAGCGGCCTGGTCACGTATGGCTAGTATCTGGGATCGGAGGGAATGATGGGAGTTGGGTAGACAATCACACATGGCCAGGGCAGCATTGCACTTCTCCACGAATGCTTGTACTTCATCTTTCTTTTCTCGTTTCTCTGACCATCTCCCTATATGCAGTGGAAGAAGTACAAGCTGTCACTTTGACTCCATAATTGATGAGGACAGGGAAATAATTATGTGCATAATTCTCTTACAAGTAACAATACTATAGACATCACAACATTCCACTCACTTTTTCAAATTATTTTTAATGATTGTGTAATTCATTTTATATATTTTATTTAAATAGCAAATGGTCCAAAATAAATGTATCCTGTTTTACACTTCATAAAACCCACTTTGGATCATCTAGGTTAGTAATATTTTCGTATGACATTGGAAACACCACAAAATTTGTTTTATGAAAGTTTCATGTACCTATACTATGTCTTTGAATAAAAATTGAAAACGTACCTTTTTCATGCATAAGGTGGATGGAGTTTTAGGACTGCCTGAATAATTTCTCTCCCTTGAGGCCATAAATGCTGCTTTTTATGCCATTTCTCATAGTAGTATTATTCGTAGTATCAATGCAGATGCTACAAAACATGACAGTGGTACTATTCTATGATGTGTAGAATACTGCAGCGAGGACATGGCATAAAAAGTAGTGTTTATGGTGTCAAGCAAGAGAAATCATTCATGCAGTGCTGAACCTCTTAAACCTCCATCCACCACTTGCACAGAAAAGGTACATTTAATAAATGCACTTTGAATGACTGTCAAAATTTATTCAGACAACCTAAGAAAACAAATTTTATGGTGTTTCCAATGTAATACAAAAACATCACAAACCTAGATCATCCCAAGTGAGTTTTATAAAGTATCAAACAGGATGTGTTTTTTTTTTAGAGCCACCCAGTATTTCCTGGAAAACAAAAAACTGGTGCACCCCATTTACACACAATTAAATATTAAATATTAAGTAAATACACATAATTTAATATACTTATGCATAAACAAAATAGAAGAAACCAGCATGCTTGATGGAGAGGGAGGAAGAAAGGCCATATGCCATGTACACCTGACACTGACCCATTGTCAATATACCTTCCTCTCAGACACATGATTTTCTGTTACATGTCCCATGCAAATTTAATAGCTATGCACTTTTGGCAGTGGTCTCATAGCAAATTGATCTATATATCCAATTAGAAATCATTCTGAAATGATGAGAATGATTCAGAAATCATTCTGAAATGATGAGAATGATTCAGAAATCATTCTTATTCTGTACATATCTATGAGAAAGCATCACATCTGATTAAATATAGTGGCACCAACACCATGAAGGAAACTTGAATATTTGCAAAGCCATCTGGAACATTCAAATTCTCATGCATTTACTTATCTATACTATCAAAGAAAACAACTGCAGCAGTTATAATGAAGATGAAATTGGTAGCTATTCATGTCACCTTCAATCATGCATGTCAGCAATATATCAAAAGGGAAATGAAGCTTGATCAAACCTGTGTCACTGAGCAAGTGTTGAAGATGCTCCCATTTCTCCATTACTTGATCCATGGAGGACCTGGAGTCACCCAGGATTGCCTGTCTCAAATATTCATTGACTTTCTCCTCCAGAGACTCCACTGTTACATGTAGGGATAGGCTCAAGTCAGCCTGCAACAATAAAATGCACATGTGACAAGGGAGGGCATAGTAGCCAAATGTCATTGATGAGATAGAAATTAAACCTGTTCAAAGCCACCAAGGAGTTCAGTAGCATCCATGCTGGGTGTAAGGGCCATGAACCGGAGTCTCTTGCCAGCCAAGGCAGCTGTCAGCTGAACCAAGGCTGTCTTTCCACTCCCACTACCTCCCATCTGACATCAACAAAACACATTCACATATCATAAAACTGAAATATAGGGTCATCACAGACTGGTTGCAATGCTCCTGAAATGCTAGCTTTTTTGGGCAGACTTCTAAGCAAATTCACTAATAATCCAGAGCCACTGACTACAATTTTAGGCCTGCCTTATTTGTTTGACAATGCTCTAAAACATACAGGTGAACCTGGATCCACCATGGTCATAGCTAACCACTGTTGATGTTGATTATCACCATTACAAGGCAAATGGTATGAGTAAACATTAATTTTTTCATATCTCCCGGCCCTCCCTCTCTTCATTTCTGGATGTGAAAGCCTCAGAATGAAGCACTTTGAGAGAGCAGATTGCTGGCTCCATGTAATTTCCTTGTCCTTTGGACACTGACCTTCTAAAACAGGGGTCTCAAGCTCTTGGCCCGCCAGCCGCATTCTCACGGAAACTGCCTTATATGCTGTCGCAAGTTTGAGACCCCTGTTCTAGAACTTCAAAATTCACTTCTGCTATGCAGGACAGACACCTAGCAAGAAAGAAACCTTGAAAATGGTTTACCACACTATACATTCAACTTTTCACAATAACCTTTACATGCTAAACATGGAAATGTTATTGGGAAATAATGTAATTTAATGCAGTAAACCCTCATTATACCTCTGCTCACTTGTTGCCAACCTCTTCTGGTGAACAAATCTTCCCAATAGCTGATAATTGGGAAGTGGTCAATTTGAAATAGTGCCACCCAAGCACTAAAATCAGAGATGACCAACCTTGACATTCTAATGAGGGTTTACTGTAAAGTATATGGTGAGGTAAACTCAAGATTAGGCACATCCAGATTGCATTTAGTAACAGCAGGAGAACCCTGACTGGAAAGACACTATAAATAAAGAAACTCAAGACAAGGAAAGGTGCATTTGAAAATATAGAAAAAAATTTGTAAGTTGAAAAAATTTAAACATGGCAGATGCCATTGGGAAAGTGTGCAAGATTTACCAGAATGGGCATCCAGTTCATGTGAACACAAGTAAGGAGGTGCTGAAGGCTTTCCATTTGAGACTGTATGATTCTCAGCTTAGGTGGGAATTCCTTGGAGGACCCATGTCCTCTCTCCATAGTCCCCAATCCGATCTGAACCAGGTAGGGTGAGATCAAGAATTGGCCTGAGAACTGGAGTTCCCTGTCATCATCAGTTTCAAATACTTCTTGGTAGATCCTGCACACCTAGAGAGGCACAGCAGGGAATCAGAAGGGAAAGTAACAAAAATCAGCAATGGAACAGAATACAACATATTATGCATGTCAGATATTAACTGCTAAGCAACCTATCAGTGCAGGTGCCTTCTAGAAATAGTCAAGTGTGGAAAGGTCACACATCTACCAATGACCAATCTAAGAGGTGATTAAGATTTTGCAGTATTCAATTTTGCAGAGACATGGTTCTTCTAAGCTCTGGATATAATTTTAATCACAGACTCTAGGGCTTTCCAATTCTGACAAAGATGTGACATTATCTGTCAGAATATGCAATACAGTAACAACACGCTCATGGCAGACATGACCTGAATGGCTCAAGTAAAAAATAAAAAAGGTATATTATTTACTCCTCATCACTTCTCCAAGAATCATAGAGGTTTAACAGGTTAACTCCCATGTGGCACATGTTACATGGAGCCATTGGGAAGACTAATAAACATTTTACCCCCTGATGGTTAAAGAGTTAAATGATTGAACAGACAGGGGATGTGCTTGATTGGTCCATGACTTATACTCTGACTCTGAGACAAAATGACATTATTTCAAATTTCATATCTGACCATTCATTCTTGTTCTGACTGGGTAATATGGCGGTATACATTTTGAACAACTTAAGAACTATCTGGTCATTCTATGAAGTCTTATAAGATACTGTCGGAGGAGAACTTAGGCTACTACGATTCAGCCAAAAATGGGCAGAGAAGCAAACACAAGAAATACTCTATGACCAATTAATAAGTCCATCTACACAACCAGATTCATTTAGGACTCACTTCCTTCTTGGCCATCTGGTTCTGGAATCGAGCAAGGTAAAGAAGAGGAACAAAGGAGCCAGGATGAATTCCACCCTGGTGTAGAATGAGCTGGCACCACCGGAACACATCTCGTAAGTTGAACTCCCCATGGGCAGGGAAATGGGAAGCAATACGCATGTTGAATTCAATCAGTTTCTCCACAACAGAAGAATCAATTGATGGAAACATGGCACATGCAATGAACTTGAGGTCTGCATGGGACAATGGCTCCATGTACACCTGAGGAATTGGTCAAATGTGTATTCATGTAGGTGAAAATTTCAAACAGGATTAATTGAATTAACAAGATAGAGGGCATATCTTTTCTCAAGGTTCTGACCTGTGTAAATCTGTTGAGGAAGGACTGTGGGAGACCCTTGCGTGCTCCACCTTGAGGGAGTGGGTTCTGACAGGCGAAAATACGGGATGCTGCACCAGAAGAGGGAATATGGAATGTCTGACCGAGTTCTGGGATGTAGATCTCTCCACGATGATCCAGGCATGCATTCAGTCCCTCTAGCACTGACTGGGATGCCAGGTTCAGCTGTAAATCATAGGATCATAATTCAAATGAGTGAGAGGAATGAATGGTTTTCAAACTGCATGAGACTGAAGTCTGACAACAGGCACAAAGCAAAAGAAATACAGTCGACTCCTGTTATAACGAAGTCAATAAAGCCACGGGAATTATTTCATTATAACAAGTTTTCGTTATATCAGGACGGGAGGTCATACAGCTCCATTTAAAGGACTTTTTATCTGTTTTATGGCCTCGTTTACATATTTTATTATCCCTTTCATGCAGAGAACACAAGAACCTTCGTGGGTCTCCAGAGCAGCAACAATCACTTGGTCACTAAGAGCATATCAAAATATGAAAAAAAAAAATCTGGGCTTTCAGAACATGGCACTCATGACTGCAGGTAATCTCGGATGCATGTTTGCCGACTTGAAGTCGCCCACTTCAGAAAGAATTTCTCTGTCTGAGATTTTTCTAAGCATTTTTTCATTTCTGTGGCATGCATGATAAAGGTGCAGCTTGATCGTTTCCACTGCTTCCATAGCATCCCGTGACTTGGGTATGCTGGTTGTTCTTCCAATTCCTGCTCATTGGCAGCATCTTCTAACTCCATTACTCCATGAGCTTCTGCACACATAGCAGGATTGGGAAGCGGCTCGCACGTGGGAACGTCCTCGTCAATATTCACGAACTGTGTGAATTCACAGCCCACTTGCAACTGAGAAGCAATTTCCTCCCAGGCGTCATCGCTCTCCATTGGAGGAGCAACATCAGTTTCCTCCTGTGTAGATTCGCCATGGCAGAAGCCCGCTTTTCAAAAGGAGTTTGCTATGGTATCAGGACTTACCTGTAGAAAGGTAAACGTGAGAATCTGCGCACTAGAATTTGAAGGAAAAAAAAGAGTTTCTGACTGACGTCATTCCATGCTGCGACGAGATGGTGCATGGCATCAAGCATGTTCCATTTCGGCAATCCATGCTCTTTGACATGGTCCACCCCCTTTGTACGTAAGTGCCACAGAAGAGAACGAATGAGTCGTTTCCGATACTTCCGCTTCAATGCCACAATCACCCCTTGATCTAGGGGTTGTATTTGGCTCGTTGAATTGGCAGGAAAGTACACCACTTCCACGTTTCTTAGCTTTATGATGCCCGGTGGATGGGCAGGGCAATGGTTGATGAAGAGGAGAATTTTCCTCCCTTTGCATCCCATTTTTGCATCAAGGCATCGGAGGAATTCAATGAAAAGGGGAGTTGTCATCCATGCCTTCTTACTGTGGTGGTAATTTGCAGGCAGATGTCGTACACCATGGAAGCAACAAGGCTTCTCGAACTTGCTGATGATAGTTGGTTGCAGTTTTTCTGTTCCTGACATGTTGGTGCACAGCAACACAGTAAGGCGCTCTTTGCTCCTCCTACCGCTGATGCACTTCTCTCCCTTCAGCTAATAAGCAAGGAGTACAGGAGTGGCAGAGGGTCAGGTTTAATGTCACCTTCAAATCATAGTTTTCACTCACTTTTAAATCAAGGCACAGGTAAAGGGGATTACAAAGGAATTAATCTGTATGATTGGTCGTTTTTCATAGCATGAGTTACCTGCATAGTTTTTTCAGGTGTGAGATTGAAGAATAGACTTGTCTCATCAGCATTGAAAATATCCTCTGGGCGATGGCTGCCTATAATGCTTTTAAGAGTCTCATTCTTCCATTTGTTGATGATTTCATCAGGCACGCTTCCGGCTTCCCCACAAACTTTCTTGAACACGATTCCATGTCTGTCCTTGAAGCGAGAGAGCCAACCAGAAGAGCATTCAAAGTTCTCGATCCCCAATACCTTCGCCAGTTCTGCGGCTTTCTGCCAAATGGTGTTCCCATCAAGGGCAATGTTGTAGGCACGTACTTGCTGGAACCACTCAAATAAAGCTTCTTCAATGTCACCGTATTTTGCACCTCTCAACTTCTTTCTTCCTGGAGCAAAGCTGGCATTGAAGAATTCCTTGCGAATCTTTTCTTTAGTGCCAACAATGGAAGAGAGCGTCAATGGTGGGATGTCATACTTCGTGGAAATCTCGCCCTTTTTCAGTTTCCCTTCCTAGACTTCTCTCAGAATGTCTACTTTCAGTTCAATAAACATGCACTTCCTCTTCTTGGCCACATGTGCCATTTCACTGCCGCTGATATAGTGAACACGTGAACTTTGACCACAAATCCATGAACTCTGACGAACAAGCAAACAAAGCTCAGAATGCTGAATGACCCAGAAAGTCCTCGACACAATTTTTACTTTAGGAGACCAGGGATGCTGTGGGAGGTGTCTTTTTAACGCAATAGGCTAATCCCTGTGGGATGGATGGGGGTGATAACTAATAGTTGAGGGACAGATGCAGGTGAAGGATTATTATAAGAACTTGAACCCTTCGTTCCCAGGTGAAAAAAAAAAGAAAGGAAAAAGGCATTTAAAAAAATAATCCCTCACTTGCCACGAAGGAAAAGTTTGTTATATCTGATGCCCTTCTTAATGGGGACACAAGAAGTCTTTCATTATAGCCTAAATTTTGCTATAACTGATTTCATTATATCCGAATTTTTTAATATGGGTGTCTATGGGCATTCAACCGGGCAAAGGCTAGGATTTTTTTATAACCTGGTTTTTGCTATATCCGTGTTCATTATAACGGGAGTCGACTGTAGAATGCTATCATAATGGGAATAAAGTTTAATGAATGTTGTCAAACTCATTTCAGGCTAAGATAAAACAAAGAGGTAAGAGAGTAACCTCATCCAGAAGTATCCACTTAGATTCTTTAAGAGCAAGGAGCAAGGGACCATCTTTCCATGCAAAGTCACCAGGGCGCCCTCCTTCCACAGGAAGATCAGCCCCAAACAGGTCTGAGATATCCTGTATCAATAAAGATAGGTCACTAAAGACAAATGTCTTAAAGACAATATTAAAGCACAAGATGCACAAAGCATACAGTCTGTTCAGAGAGGTTGATGCGGACAACATCCCAACCAGAAGCCTGGGCTAGTGCTGTGACAAGACTTGTCTTTCCAACTCCAGGACTTCCTTCCAGGAGGATGGGCTTCCTCAGCTGCATTGCCCTTAACACCCTCAGGGTATTTTGACAGGGGGTGGGAGCCTGAAGTGTGTACCATCCTGCCAAGCTCTTTTCTCCTCTTGGTCCTTCCCACAGATGAAAATGACAAATTTATATAATGGAATAAATTTAATAAAGTACAAACTATGCCATACTATGACCAATTTCAAATTTGATACTGCTATGCATAGCATAGGTATCTTTGAGGTAAGTTATATGGTATATTCCACAGGTATCTTAATTTGGTCTGACTTCAAAAATCAAGCAGGTATTTTAAATTTAAAAAAGTAATGTAAACAGTATATATATGTAGTGAATAAAGAATGCATTAGAAAACAAAAACATAAAGATACATACCTTCATGTATAGACATAAAAAATAAATGGATACAAGACCAAAAACAAAAAAATATGTCAAGGTCAATAAAGCATCAATTAACTGGATTAGAAGAAAAGTGGAAATGGACAATAATGAATCACAAGCAAAAGAAGTGAATTCACCTCGGTCAATACAGAAGCTAGGGTATCCAAAGAGACATGGTGAAGACATAAGCTCTTGCTTTGCTGAAATGTCAACTGAGACCCCAATTCGATCCATCACCTGATTATTCAGAAATGCCAGCCAGTCTTCACGCTGAATGGCAATCTCCTCAGTCCTGTCAAGCAAATCACTCTAAATGATAAGTTCCATCACTCGAAATCAAAGTACCACTGCAACTGATGCTGTCTGAAGGCACCCCTAGATATAGATAGGCACATGTGCAAAATACCGCATGGATGCAGTGTTGCCAGATCCAAGAGCATCAATGAAGACAAGGCATGCACCATGCACATATGCAAGGGCAATGCTCTTGTCCCCCACCCCCATGTAAATGTTCACAAAGTTGACCCATGACAGGATATCCCGCACACTGACTGTGTATCTGCAAGTACATCATTGCCACTTCCTGGATTTGTTCCAATTTGGGATGAGTATCAGGATGATACTTTATGAAATATGGAACCTTGTTCCCAAAGGAGAGGACTGAAGATGGCAGAGAAAGTCCATCATGGCAGAGCCAAATCCTGTGGATCCATCTTCCTGGTTCCCAAATGAGATCCCCTTCTTCACGTTGTGTTCAATGATGGCCATCAAGTCGTTGTGCTCTCGAATCTCCTCAGCCCAGATCTCTGTGAAGCGGTTCCGCAATGCTGGAGAGAGCTAGTAACAGGGAAAAATACAAACGCAATTACATAATTACAAAAATATAAATTTCATTAAACAACCAATCTCAAAACACAATCAAGGATCAAAGGTTCCATTAGAATTTTTCCATTAAAACCCTAAATATGCAGTACTCCACATGAACTTCAATGACCTGGAAGTTATAATTGACCTCAATCTTCAATACTTGACAGAATGCATACTATGATTTCCTTTTACAAAGTCAACTCTCATTAATTTGAACTTCAGGAAACCAGATTAACAGCTCATCTGAATTAAGAAAACCTTACTGAGAGACTAATCACTTCCCATTTTTTTTAGGTAAAGAAAATTGTACTCCCAGTGTACCACTAATTGCATCCACTTATTCAGATTTATTCTCTCATGTAAATGGGAATCACCAACCCAGTTCCTTCAATTGATCACATAGGAGATATTCCTTCTCCCATGCTAGATCTTGTCAAAAATACCTTCTCATGACAGAAGGGAGGTAAGAAACATGTAAGAAACAAAAAACAGATGGATGAGACTTTGGGGAAGAGGGAGGTGACCACAAAAAGTGAGATAAAGTCTCAATAACTAGAGCAATTCCAATTATTTACATCCAGAAAAGGGGTGAGAGCCAAAGAGATTAAGTTTCATTTTCATATCTTGAATTTATTGACATGTGGGGAAGTCAAGATTAAGAACATAGAACATCAAAAAAATTGTTTCTTTTGTATTCAATCTCTTCTTCTAGTAAGTCTGCATACACAGGGAGAATGGCCTAGAGATTGTTTATATAAACAGGAGCTACATAATAATGCCATTCAAATTATACAGAGAATTTAAGAATAAGTTCCATGGGATTTTTTTCTGGACTGTTCCTCCAGCCTGAATGAAAGGAAGTGCTGAATTACTAGTGTTCAGATATATGAGAGTTCACTGAATTTTTTCCAGCCATACCTCTTTCTTGCCAAAGTCTCCCCCCGGATTCATGGTACCAATGATACGGAATCCCTCTTTTGCCATCAGGGACTCAGCTTCTCCACCTATTCCATCAGTAGCTTTCTCTGATATCAGCAATCGCCTTTCGGGCTCTGGAATGGAATGAACTCCTCAAGCAAACCTTGCAACTAGGAAAGAATTCTCTGATGGCATATAAGGCACAATATAGAAAGACACAGTACCAAGGACAGAGTTGAGCCTTTCTAGGACACTATCATCAGCCAGAGAAATCTCATCGACCAGGAAGTAACATCCATCTTTCATGGCCTTCACCAAAGGTCCCTCAGCCCACTCAAACAGTCTATCATCTCCAGGATGATGGGATCGAACAGGTCTCAATCCCCCAATGAAGTCAGCACTCTCAGAATGCATGTGGCAGTTGATAGAATGAAGGTGGTGGGCTGTGACTGTAGCCAGGTATTGCACAATAGTTGTCTTGCCACATCCTGTTCCACCAACTAGCAATACTGGCTCCTTGTACTTCAAGGCTTGGGCTACATGAAGGGTTCAGATGCAAAATTATATAAACCAGAGATTATTTTTCTCTAGATGGACCAAAATTGTGCAGGAGGCTCATGTTTTGCTACAAAAAGTAAAACTTGCTCAGAAAAGCAGAACTAAGCAAAAAAAAAAAAACAAACAGGGATAGCATGCCAGGCTGATTCATGAAGCCTATCAGAAACACTTTCAAGGCAATTTCCATAGGAATCAAACTGATCTAGGGTTCATGAGTTCTGAGGTCTTCAGATACTTTAAGTACCAGATGTTGACATCAGTTATCCTATCTAGTGAGCCATTTTGGGATAGATGAAGGTTTAAGGTCTACCAGTAAGGACAGCCAGACGCCTTGACTGATAGGTCCAGACAATGTGCCCAAATGCAGGGAATTGCTTCTGCTGCAGCATCTCAAGGATTGGCTTGGTGACAGGGGAAGTCATCTCAGAATCTGCAATTCACACATTTCCCTTCATTATATATCACCAGTATCTAATAATATCAATAAACTGGAACTCTAACATTAGCTCCTATACAACAATGCAACCTCTGTATTGCTTGCAAACATGCAGTTGCTATTCCACATTAGGGTCAGAGGACAGGTATCCTAAGATGTCACTTTAAAAAGAAGAAATATTTGCTGAACGTCATGTCTTCTGGAAAAATGGGAGAAGTAAATTTGCCAAAACTTTAATTCTCTTTCTTTTATTTCTGGAGGCACAACTGGCAGCAATTGCATGATATGATATTATTTTTTTGGGGAATCATAATTTTACAATCATTTCATACTTTGTACCCATCCATCAAATTCCATTTCCACGTGACAATATGATTGATATCAACTGAGTGGTTCAAACAGTAGTTCCCTCTGAAGTCATTACATCATTCTGATGGACCCAAAGAGGTCTGAATATTGAGAAAATGGAAATAGACACACCTTTATTACCATTTCCATCTGAATCCCAAGCGAGGTAGTACTTCTCAGTTCCAATGACATGAAAATCAAACACTCAGGCTCATAGTAGCTGACATTTTCATGGAAAAACACAGTTCACAAATAAGAGACTATTTAGTCGCTGTAGAAGTCCGATGGCTAGGGATGGAGTACATTTTTCGAAAGAGGGAGAGGTAGCAGTCGGATTGGCTATCATGAAGGAAAATGAGCCTTTTTTAGGGTTGTAGATGGGGGGGCAAGGGACCACAAGCAAGGGACAGCCACTACGAGCAGCTTTAGACCGCCGCGTACTGGTGTGCAGGAAAGGCAGGGAAGAGTCATGTGTTTCTACGCGAATGCACGCAGCTTACGTAATAAAATAGACGAGCTCAGGGGGGGGGGGCACTGGACAACGGTTTCGATGTCATCGGAATAACCGAGAATTGGGGAGGTTCTCACATTTCGGATAAGGAATTCGAGATCGAAGGATACGACATCTTGCGGAAGGATAGACTCGGCAGAAAGGGGGGGAAGAGTCGTATTGCACGCTAAAACCGAACTGGGCGTTCGCGTCAGAGAAGATCTCACTTTGGCTAACTGTGGAGCAATCGAACACTTATGGTGCGAGATCGGTGGGGCAACTGGGAAGATCGTGATAGGAATTTGCTATAGGCCCCCTAACTCTTCTCTCGAGGATGAAGCAGCTTATTTTGCACTCATGCGTAGGATCGGCGAGATCTCGAAGCAGGTATTGCTCTTCGGAGACTTTAACATGCCAAAAATA